AAGCTTGCTGCAACTTCTGGTGCGATCCCCCCACTTCTGGTAGTATAGCACCAATGCTTTTCTGGTTGTTCATCACTTTGGCACAGATTCTTTCAAGGGAACTTTCGGTGTCAGCTGCCTTTAGTGGGTGTCCAAAGGGATCTTGCAAGCGTGGTCTTCGTCTTCTCATCGGGATGTGGTCGTCGACGAGATGCTAAGTTGAGCAGCGCGTCGGTTCTTGAGCAAAGACTGGAGCGGACAATCCGGAGGTTGGAGACCATCGCCCTTAGGTTCCGTTTGCTCTTAGGTTGGAGGCCATTGCTTCTAGGTTGGAGGCCATCGCGGCTCTTTCGCTATTAGGTTTTGTGAGCAGCTACCGCATCATCTCTCATGCGTCACCCCCCTGCTGTGAAACTGCCCTTTTTGAACAGAATCCAGTCTTTCTCCAAGGGGAAATGGTTTCCAATCTGTTTTTAGATGGTTTTGCCAGATCAGTGGAAGAAGTCATGCAAAATCCAGGAATACATACCACCCCGCTTGATCTTGCCTGCAGTGTTCCCTCATCCCGACTGCTTCGCACCCCACCTCACCTCTGCAGCTTCCCACCCCACCTCAGCAGTGATCATCTCGATCACGGTGCAGCCCAAGCTCCAAATGTCCTCGGATGCCGGCCCCAACTGGTCGGGAGGCCTTCCGAACGGAACTCGGGAGGGCTTGTCCACTGCGCGCTTTTTTTGCGGTCCCTGATGCATGTAACTATTCCCTGATACCATCCAGACCATCCATGTATGGAACAGTTGTATGCAAACATACTGTTACATACCGGCTCCATTTCTGACCCTAGTGTATGTACTGTAACATTATGTAACTATTCCATACATGGATGCTCTGGGCATGTACAGCTCTCGGGGCGAGCTGCAGCGAATCAGTGGCTGCGGAGAACAGGAAATCCGTTCCCAAACATGACAGGTGGGACTGGCATGTTTACCAACATTGGGGTGGTTTCCGGGGTCCTAAGTATAAATACAGAATTCCATACCTTGGAATGGTTCATATCCAGAACGCCTGAAGTGGAATTGTGCCAATTCACCGGACTTCTTAGTGGCCGGTTTGGACGACGAGGCCACCGCCAACTCGTCCGTCCCCGCTTGGGGCGGTCCCACCGGCCCAGGGCGTCAAGTATCAACGGCCGGCCTCGCTTCGTTGATGAATACGCGGGATACACCCACGTGTACCCACCAACTGGTAGCTGGTATATGGTACCAGGCACTGAGCCCTTTTGGTATTATGCCCTAGAATAGAGAACCACGTGGAACCTGAAAACCACTGCTTTGTGGGGCTTCAGCTAGTCGAAACAAGCTAGTCCATGTTCAGGCTCCATGTTCATCTTCCCGGGTGTGACGGTGATTTCCCAAGGGTTTTGTGGGATTCATGTGGCTTCGGACACTTCGCTTTTCCCAAGCTCGGACTCAACCCGCCGGTGATTTTCCTGGGCCGTCGTGCCGATCGTCGTCCCGCCTTAAACTTCATGACCTGAAGAAGCGACGTCCGCGACCGAGAACCGTTTGGAAAGCCGGCGTTCAGTCGGTTGCTCGAGTCGAACAACCGTGCCAAGCGCGGGTGAACCGCGGTCGAGTCGTGTGGTGTGAAAAGTCACAGCTGTCATGAAAAGCCTACTGGACGAAGAATCGCCACTAATCCGCAATACGAGTATTATAGTGGTCCCCCAAAAAGATTGAAACGGTTTCCAGTGTCCAATAGATTTTTTGTGGGATATACGTGTCTAATCTTTTCTATCTATTTGAACGTCTGTATAAGTCGATTGGATTCCAACAGCTTTTGAGACGCAAGCGAGTCTCATCCGCAAGTTCGTTGGACGATCTCCCCACGTGGGAAACATAGTAGGTCTGAGAGATTCACTAAAATAGCAAAATGGATGTTGTCCCTGAAGCAGAGCTTTTCTGGGAACTTGTGGCGAACCAATCTCAAAAGCCATTTGGGGCAGACCACTTGGCGTCCTTCTATGGCCTGCAGGCCTGTAGTCTCTGCCCCCATCTCAAACCTCAAGAGATGGAAGCACCAACTAACTCTGAGTTATCTGGCACCAGGCCAAAGTCCACCCAGCCGCCCGAAGCATGTGCAAAATTGAGAGAGCCTCCATTTGGAGCCCAAATCGAGGGTCAAGCCGATTTGAACCCCCTGTTGTATGGTCACAGTCACATGTTACGCTGAAAGAATCCACCGTTTCGTGGCTTCGCGGGGTGTTCCACCACCCTGTTTTCGGTGTTGGGTCGTTGTTGGGGGAGTCCGAACTGAACCACCGGCCATGCCGAACCCATGATCCGTTCACCAGCCGATCGCCGAGGTTCGCCACCGTGGGGCTTCAGCTCGCAGGAGGGCGCTTTCCATCCGCCTCCAAACCGCCGACCCTTTCCGCGCCTCTGGGGCCATCCAAAAGACGCTGCCCTGGATGGAGCTCATGCCATTCGTGCAGGTGCTATGGAGTTGCTGGCGAAGCGTGGCAAGAAGCGGGTCAGACGGCTGGGTGGGCGAGAGACGGAGGAGGAATGGCTTAAGATCTCAAGTCACACAAAGAGAGCTTGGTTGACCCCCACAACCCTCCCCAACTCATCAGCGATTCTATCATCTTTTGATCATTGGAATTCCATTTCCAGGGTGAGGACCCCAACCTCAGGGACCTCAGGGAAGCTCACATGGCACATCCGACCGCCAAGACAGCAAACGATGCTTTTCGCTCTTTTCGTCCGCAATCGATGAGAGCACATTCTGCTAGCGGTCGATTCGGTCGATCAGCCATGCTTCGGTGAGGACACCACACAAGAATCAACCTTCAGTTGAGATCATGCAACTTATGGATATCATTGATATCATTCACAAAGGTCCACAAATGAATAGAAAACATGGTTTCTTCAAAAGAAGCATTCATTGTTCTATCATGTTTATCTGTATATTTGGGGGTCAATGTTAGCTTAGTTTTCGGAACATGAATCGCCAGCAAGTCCGTTGCACAGAAGATGCACAAAAAAGGGGACAACACAAGCATTGCCAGCTGGTGAAGCTTGAGGCCAACAAGTTTAGTCAACAACCAGATTGAACGGTACATATGTGCAAAGCTCACAGACAGCCAATCCTGCAAAACCTTGCAGTGTCAATAATCTACTCTCCAATAATCTTGCGACGAATCTTGCCATAATCTTGCAGACCAAGCCTTCTTGAAACTTGGTTCCCATCGAGTTCTCTTCGCTCTTTTCGCTCATCCAAACAGCACTGCTCTGAAGCAAGATGCTAACGCTAAGAAATGGACCAGTCTGAGGTCTGTTTAATGACCCCCAAAATGGAGAAGGCAAGCTCCTTCTATAAAGAATGTCTTGGGCTCCCTTGTCCATCTATACCAGGACTTCATCGAGTCGTCGATTCACCGCGGTGTTCACCCGACCCTTTCTTGCGAGGGTTCATCTTCAACTGACAACTCCTGCTGATCCCCAAGCGGGCAACCCATCAAGAGTGCTTCTTATTCCTGAAAGAGACCCCCAACATTGGGGTCATGAACCATTTCTCCAGACCTTCGAAGCAGGGTCTGCAGACCCTTGGTACGTCGATTCATGTAATAAAAGAGCAACCTAATAGCAATGGCCTCCAACCTAGAAGCAGCCGGCAACCTAATTGAAATGGAATGCGTGGGTGTTCACGAACGAATGAAATTCATCCCCCCCACCTGTTCTGCACACTTCCCGATCGACCCATCAACCCTCCTGAGGACCTTCTTTGGGCACTCAAAGTTCGGCGGCGCGGCGCGCGAGAGACGCTGAGAGGCGCTTGAGCGCTTGAGCGCCCGTGGGCGACTCGCAGGATCGATGGAGTAGTAGGTTGGAGGCCATCGCTAGTAGGCCACGACTTACAGCAATAGGATGGAGTGCCATTCATGTGGGGTTGACACACGCCATCCTTTCCGGACCAAGACTTGCTTCTGTGGATATGAAGTCGTGGTCTGGTGATATCTGGGAGGATTCGGTATCTGCTTGAAATTGAGTGGAAGTTTACATGTCCAAATCAATGGATCAAGCTCCTCCATGCAGATTCACATCCGCTTGACTCGACGCACTGGATGAGCGAGTGGAAAGCAAGCAAACAGCTCAGGATGAGAGATTGTTATAGGTGTTGAAAAACTCTCATCATCCCTTTCTGTGTGAAATTCATCCATCCATCCATACATCCATGGTCTGCATTTCCGCAGCCCCACCACTACTTAGAACCCGTCTGACCCCTTTTTGAAGGAAAAGGCTATTCTTTGAATAGTTGATAAAACAGGAGTCATTCAGGTTCTAGGATTCTAGGCAAGCATAGATCTCTCTACACTACGGAATTTGAATCCGTCGCGAGGAGAAGAACCTCAAGAACTTCAGCTGTCATCTTGATTCACCTCAAACTGAGCTCATGTACTGTCTATCCAGGCGACATGAGGTGGTCCTCCAATTCACAGTCGACCTCTGGGCGCTTCGTCACCTTGAACGGCCTTGAAACCGATCTACCAGAGATTCGGTCTGTGCCATCCACGGTGATTCACTACTCCAACCAGGAATCCGGGGTCAATTGGTTTATGCTTGTTAACTGTTGATGTTCCAAATCCCCCTATTACCTATTCATTATTCCCACAGCTTAATGTCTTTCTATTCATCCCTACTATATTCACTATTACTAATACCAATGTTTCCACCATATTCACCTTCTGTCCATCAGTCGTCTTCACAGAGTCATCATAATCGCTGAGTCGTCTCCACACGGGATCGCCTCAATTGTGACAAGTTGTGTCTGTGACTCGTGTAGACCAGAAGAAGAGATCCTGTGGGACTCAATCTCCTCTTCCTGTGGGACTCAACCTCTGGGACTATTGTTCCACTTGTTATATCAATCCTTTTTCCGTATGGAATATCTACATTGACCCCAGGTCAACCACCCCAAGTGATCCGCAAGTATGCCATTCACATGAAAACATCTGGGACTTATTCAGAGATCCTTTTCTGCCCACTCTTGTAGACGGGCACCTCCATCAAGCCCTTCAGAGGCACAGAGGATACGAAGCCTGGGCGGAGGAGACACCTTTTCACCGGTTTCACCAGGAGTGTGTGGTGCTCCGGAGGATGTGGTGTGACTTGCCTTCCTTGTGTTGAACATGCTAGAGGGGAAAAGAGTGAAAAATCAAAAATCATGTCATGGAAACACCCCTCCACCCTGTCATGGAAACAGTAAACAAAACCCCAAAAGCCAAAAAAACAGCAAAACCTGGTGCTGAAAACCTCCTTAGCGTTTTTGTATGACCATCTCAAGTATTTCAATTTCATGAGGTCAGTTCCTGACCTTTTAAAAGGGAAAGACCTTCCTCTCCTCACGGAGGAAAACGGTACGACTTGACGGTCCTCCCGGTCTTCCCGGTCCAGTGGCCCCAGCGCTCGGCGGCGGCCCAGCGCCCGAGGGCGGCCAGCAGAAGCGTGAGCAGCAGCCAATAGCTGGAGCTTCGGAACTGGCGCATCAGCATCAGGACGAAGGCGAGGCCTAGGCCAAGCACCGAAAGCCTGGGCTGGGAGGGGGAGAGGAAGGGAAAAAGGAAGAAAAAGAAGTTGGGGGAAGGGAAGGGATATGGTTTGGAATGTAAGATGAAGTGACAAAACAATTGAAGTCTTAAGAATTGACCTGACTCTTGGCCTTCGGGAGGAGATCGAACATCTATCAAAGTCCCAAGAATGTTCCATCTGCAAAATCTACACACTACACACCCATATGATATCAATCAGAGTGTGCATCGAGAACTCACCCAGGCGTTTCTAGTCAAGATCTGTTGCTGTTGGGGGGATACCTTGAAAGTCTTCTTCAACAAGACCGACATCATTATTCAAACAAATAATAATAGCAATCATAAATGCAAAAAACACATGCAATAGTGGTATGTCACTTCCGGGGCCTATGCAACCCCCACATCTATGGGACTCCACGCCCCACAGACTGCCACTCTGCCCCACCCCCCTCCTGCCTGCCAGCGGTAGACTGCATCACTCCAAAGGCGCGCATCACGCGCTTGCAGCGGGGGCCTCGTCCGCGAGTGGCCGTGGCCGCGGAAAGTGGCCGTGGCACGTGCGTGCTGGGAAAAGAAAACAAAAACACATAAAACGTGGGACCATCGCGCTGGTGTTTTTAATGTACTCTTGCAAGATTATACTTCAATCCCCCCATGCCTGAAGAGGTTCTATAATCCAAATTTAATGCTGTATTGAAATTCATCAGCCATATCCATTGGGGTGTTTGGATGTGTAAATCCTTTCTCAGGCATGATTGCCACGGTCAGGTAGAACATGGTGCGTTGCTGGTGGATGCTACACAGTAAAGTGATCTTGGAAGATTCACAAGAGTCAGAAGGTGAGGACAACATACGCCACCCCCCAACAGCCTCGGGGATGGGGTCCCGCTTTGGCTGTTGACCACCAGCATCTCACCAAAGCGATCCAGAAGAATTTAGGGGGTCGATATATAGTAAAAGCATGTGTTTCCGTCACCTCCAAATCTGGTTCACTTTGCGGGAGAAAACAGAAAACATTGTGGCATTGTTGTGCTTTTTCGGGGGTCAGTTCATCTGTGGTGTACTTTTTCTTTCTGTATCACACTCCAAGAGTCTACTGCAACATCAATCAACTTTTGGACATGCAATGTATCTGCTTCCCCTCTTCTTGCAGTGCCCTCAACTGATTGATGTCCATCCGGGCCGTCATCCATCAAAAAAACAGTGGCTCTTGATTGGTTTTGAATCATGCAGCCAGTCGCTCGAAAATCTTACAAGTCCATCATCGTTGAACTCTCGAGGCACTTGATGGCCCATGGGTGCCACGTCTTTCAGGAGTTCGGCTTGTCTTTTTCTTTGAAAAAAGGCCACTGACTGTGGGAATGATGTGGGTCTTAACAGAAGAAAAAAGGCAGGCAAGCACCTCCAATCCTCCATTCACCTCCTTCCCTTCCCTTCGCCCAAGTCAGACTATCTTAGACTATCTTGACTAGTTGCTAGTCTGTCTCACCCTCTAAGAATGGAAGTCACCCCTCCACTGGCCCCATCTGGCCACCAGGTCCACCTACCAAGGAGGTCCACTGTGATGGGTGCAACCGCCGAGGTCGCTCTCCGCTCCGTGGTGCAATGCTTGGAATGTCTCTGCCACCGGTCGAAGAGCATCGGATCCGACGCTGGCAGGGTCCTGTCGATCGCCCGAGTTCGCGCCCGTTCCGCCGTTCGATCGGCGGGGTCAGGGCACCCGTTTCGCCGGTGGACCTTTCCCCCACGTAGTCTCTTCTGTGCATGTTCCGGTAAGAAAAACCACCAGGCTCCCCCCCGGGAAACCCATGACCCACAGCCAGGTTAAGAGAGGTCGGTCCTGACGGGCCCGTGATGTTCCATGTTTGGGTTTTTTCCTCGATGACTTGGCCGTTTTGATGATGAAAAAGGACGAACAGATCATCCAATCAAATCATTTCAGGTGAAAAAGTAATGTCAACCACGGCAGCTTTGCAGAAAAACCGATAGGCTGACGCTTGTTGAACCACCACAGGACCAGTGGACCACATCTGCAAGGCGGAACCGACCCCAGGGCGTCAGGGTGCCACCCGCGGAACCTCTTTCCATTCACCAACCAGTGGGGACCGACCCAAAATAATAGGATATTCTCCAATCCTCACATGTGTCCGGTGCCACCTCTCCTGGAAGCTCTTGGGAAGTATGGTCCGCCATTGCCACAGTCGTACAACCACTTCCGGAAGGCTTCCACCCCTTTGTCTGAGGCGGTGCCTAACTTCGCAGCTGCGCACCCCCGCACCACACAGCACGGGGGTGCGCAGGCGCATGCGCGGGTCGAGAGTCTGAGGGTACGAGGGTGATGTTTTCCCATGTTTCCCAAGGTACTCAAGCTGGGCAAGAAGTGTTCAACGGATGCAACACCAGACATGGCTTTCACCACGAAATTAATGTTCCTTGATAGAATCTTCCAGTGGTCCAACACTTGGAAGACATTCCATCCCTGTGGCTGCCACGGAGATCTCTTCCTCTCGAGGATTCTTCCGAATCCAACACGGACCAAGGAGCGCAGTGAGGGGGTCCCCCACTGGCTGGGCAGAACAATGTCACCACCTCTCCTGTGCCTGGTCGTATCACCTTCAGCTCTGAGTTTCATGAGCACAGTTCACCCACCCCATCAATCTGCCACCCCAAAGCAGAAATCGAATCGATTCGTGGCTTCTCTGCATGTTGTACTACTGGCTGACTGGAGGGTGCAAATCACCACCCAGCGGTCCCCACCCAGCGAATGAGTGAAAACACAAAATGCCAAGGTGCCCAGGACATACTGCTCACCCCAGGCCCCGAGCGGACTCTCATGCAAGTTCCTCTCCTGGCCTCGCATCGCCAAGAGGTCTTGCTCTTGGAAGCGATAGCCTCACGTTCTGGGTCTGACGGTCAAGCGACTGCAAGGAAATTGTACCCTCACCAAAAAGAAACACATGGAACCCGAAAAGTGCCGCCTGAAGCACAATAGTCCTTTGCATAACAAGTCCTCACAGGTACAAAAGTTGAAGTGATCACTTCAGGACTTGTCGCCTCTGTCAGAGCAGAAGCACTTAGACTCCCTCGAACGGAATGCTGTAGTAGATTGAGAGTCGATGGCACAATCCTCAAAACGTGGTTTATATAGAATGACAATCCGGTAAAATTTAAAGATTGTGCCATCTACTCTGAAACCACTGCATTTGCCAGAGACGTCAGCCCTCTATGAGGCTCAATGGAAAGAGTGGCTCAATGAGGTGGCAAATGAAGCGCACGACTCGTTGAATAGTGTTGAATCTACTGAGGTAAACAAGCAAAACCCATCCTGTTGGACAGGCAAACACACTGAAAACACACACACTCATCCATGAGGTAAACAAGCCAGTGATGAACAAACTGATACCAAAGCGCAGCACTGCCAAGCACACTGCGCAGCACTGCTGAAAAAGATATGCCGAGCTGCCGAAGATCTTGTTGAAGAAAAGCACATGCAGAATATCCTGAACTCGAAGCTTTTTGCGAAGCTTTTTGCATCGCTACCTGCCTGAGGGCTCTTGGTTCCAATTGGCTCAAATTCCAACTGGTGGTTTGCATCGAGCTTTGCCAGTCTTTCGGATTCAAGGCAAGAGTCCTGAGGGGTGCTGGACAAATCTTCGGGTTTAAAAACAAATTCATTGCAATCACATGGTGCCAAGTTGACACGGTTCGGTGCACAAAAAATTATACCAAAATCATTTTTCACATCCAGATCTGTTCACCTTCTTTTGTGGCTGGGCTCTAACGTGTCACCTGAAAGACTCTCTTGTCTGTGGCATTTTTTGCCCCAGAGTCAGAGAGGTTCCTCCTGTGGGTATCTCCACCAACTGATTCTTGACAGATCCACAGGGTGAGCCAAGCGACCCAACAACACCACCAAACATCGAAAACACAATGACACAGCAGCACGAGCGTCCGTGACAAACTCGGGCATCTTCTTGTTGACCGGCTGACCCAAGTTCGCGATGTAGCGCGTCTCGTGGGGGCCGCAGGGCACGAAGTAGAGCTGGGTGGTCTCCACACCTGAGAGGTGCGTCGTTGCCGCCACGGGTGGAAGGACCCGGTGAGTCAGAACAGACATGTGTTTGGGTGGGGGGTGGCCGTTGACTGTGTTTCGTCATTTGCCCCTACCATGAACACAAACCAGTCATTTGGAACATCCATCACCAGTTTTTGTTCATGTAGTCCCACACAAGAAGGATTCCAGTCGAGGGTCGTGAAAAAGGTCGAGGCCCCTGAAATAAAGAACCTCAACAAGAAATAGATCGCAACAACATGCAACAATGACAATGACTCCAAATTGAACCTCTAAGCCTGATGCCAGTGGGTCGTTTTCGTGGCGACGCCCCGCCCCTTCAGCACCAGAGGTGTTCATTGGGAACTTCCTGGCTTATCAATGAACATCTGGTTCAGATTCTTCTACAGTATTTGTGCTCTTCCCTCAAGCTAGCCCCTTCATGACCATATATGTTTGCTTCAAAATAAAGTATAACAGTTTTGCCATAATCATCGAGGTGCCTCCTGGTCAGCCTGTAGTTCACGCATGGTCACACCAAAAGAGGTGCGCAAATGCCATTGTTGATCTGCACAAGGTGGCCACTAGATCTTGACAATCGAAATCATTTAATCTGTGCTTTCTTGTGCTGACAACCGTCTACCCTCGCGAACGGAGATACATGTGGAAATACATGTAGAAATATATACATAGAGTCATAGAGCTTGGAGTCCAGAGTGCCAAGCGGATCCTTGTAAGCACCTTAACATGCTGGCCGAAAAGTTCCAACCTCCCCCAAAGAGCTTCGAAGAACTGGCTCATCTGCCCACTTAAACCATTCATCACCCTCCTTCTTCGAGCTTCGGCGATCCTTGTATTTGTACACGGTGGTGTTGGAGCAGGGCGGCACGAATTGCCGTGTGGCCATCACGCCGTCCGTGCCTGCGGTGCGGTGGAGGGCGAAGGGATGAGAGGGATGAGAGGCGGTGGCGGTGTGTGTTCTGCACCATCGTGGTTGGGGACACTGAGAATCATGGCGCAACAGTGTCATCCATGATTGGTGAAACCTACACGCTATAGATCATGATTCAATGTTGCACACAGATCCTAACAATCTGTATCGTTCATGGTGACGTCAAGCCTTGTGACTTCTCTCTTGGGTTGTGACAAGTCATACGAATCTCTGAAATTGGAACCTTCTGATACCGTCACTCTTGGCAGCACGTTTGCCCAGCACATGCCGAAAAAAGATCGGTGCTAGCATGGCCGACGCAGACGGCAGACAGAGCCGTCCTTGGTCGTAGCCGTCGTGCTCCAGGACGAAGCCGCGCTTCCCGGAGATCTCGCCGTCTCGGAGCTCGAACTTCGACATGGGAATGGCCTCGAGGGACGGGCGGAACGCGCGTCATGTGACGGCACGAGAACGACCGACGATGCGGGTAACAGAGTCGCCCGGTGATCAGAGTGTCAAGGGAGCGTCGAATACACCCCGTGTTGCGTGTGCGGCGCGAGAAGGAGCGGCACCTGTGGCTTTGCCGCAGTGCTGTCTAGTGCTGGTTTGGCTGCGGCACACGAACCAGTAGTCAAGCTGACAACTTGTCATCATCTTTCTGGTAGGTTCCAACCAGAAAAGCCTTTCTTTCCAACCCACCCACCCCTGAGCACTCCATTGGCCGGCGCCTTCTCTGGGGAGTACTTGATGATACCGTTGTGAAGGAAGGGCGCATGAGATGGGTCGAAGGTATTCTCCACCGAGACCTGCGATGATGAGACCGGCGACCAGCTTCGAGGGGATGTCTATGGACCTATGGATGTGTTTCCTTCCTTGCCTCGTCCACATGAGAACTACATCTATGTAAGTCACCGTCACCCTTCTCCACTATGTCTCCCAAAAGCCCAAACCGCCTGGTAGCCCACGGGCGCCGTGGTCATCACCCACTCCACGTCGTCGCACTCGGGGGTCACGCAGGGCGCGGAGCGCTTGGAAACGACCTCCGCGTCAGGGCCCAGGTAGGGGAAGATCCACACCAGGCCCTGCGGCGAGACTTGGAGTGGGAAGGGGCAGGTGGGGGGTGTTGAGGGTACCGAGCACGCTCGGTATGGACAATGGATGGGAATGGATCCTTAAAAGCATGGAGGATGGTATGGACAAATGGAGGATGGTCGCGCTGGAGGAGGTAGTGAGCTTCACAACTCGATAAGAGTTCAACGAGGTCAGCAGGTCGTAGTGGCCAAATGACCACAAGTGACTCAAGTGGTGATCCTCTTTCCCTGGATAACAGACTTTCTAGGGTAAATTATATCCGGTACAGCCTATGTTTGAGCCGTATGCAACTTTTGCCATTTGACCCTGACGACCAGTCTTCCGGCCTGCTTCACTTGAACTGGAAAGCTGGTCAAAGAGGTCCGAGCCATGCCACACATGCCTGGGGCGCTGGGGAGGATGTGTATTTTTGTTGTTGGTTCGACGATTTTGCCAGGCTTGAAAGATGACCATGATCACAGTAAACAAGATCGTTAGTCCAGGATGTGAACCCTGAGCCATAGTCGCCCTCATCTACATCATATTCCCTCACAATTCCCTCAGGTAAATCTTGCCAGACAAGGTCTGGGCGAGGTTGGTCATACGATCTTGACCACTTGCAAAATTATGTCAACTCTTGATCCCTGGTCAGATGATCGCCCTTGATGGATGCTTCAAAACACAGCTCTAAATTCCAACAGACGGGGATCGTCAGGCCCATGTGCAAAAGCTGGGCTCAGCCTAGTTGCGGGCATTGTCCTTGGCATTCTGCGCCATGGGGACCTTCACGCAGTTCCCCGCCTTGGCTGGGGAAAACCCGCCACCAGCACCGCCTGGACCCACCGGTCACCCGACTTGTGGCTTGGACAGATGTTCGACCCTTTAGGCCCTATAAAAGATCGGTGAATCTCCGTGGACTGTGCCGAAGACTGATCTCTGAGTTCACCGGCTGAGGTTTCAAGAACAGCTGAGGTTCACCGGCCATGCCGGTAAGAGATCAAGAATCCCCCCAGTGCTAGTTTGCGGATGGTCAGGTTATAAACCCCCCTACTTTCGGTGTTCGCTCACCCTCTGGGCTCCTCTCGGACCGATCGGAGTTGCACTCGGTCACCGGCTCCATCAGCTCCAATTCAGCTCTCTCGGACTGGGTGAGTTCATCCTCACCTCCAAGTAGCTGGGTGCGAATGTGACTGGAGAATCGCCTAAGCTCCTATAGACTCCTATGCGAAGTTTTTGGAGCCTAGCAATCGCTGGAGTTGAAAAATCTCTCGTTTGAACCCGTTTGAACCGATCACATCTCTTCGGCCCGGGGCGGAAAAAACGGACACTGAACTGCTTCTTCCCACGCTGGCGGAAGGACTTGACCGAGCGTCGGAATTGAAGCACCAGCCATGATAGCGGCATCTCAGGCGGCCAGCCGAGTCGATGTCTCCAATGGACAAGGGGGCCATGCGGTGTGGACACGAGTCCAGTGCTGCGTGCCAGGTCTTCTTCTCCTTAAAACGCTGAGGCTCCGAAGTTGCTAGGCTGCTAGGCCTGCTGGAAGTTAATTGACTCATGACCACCATGCCTGATGACCAATTTCCGACTTCAACCTAGAGAGCACTTTTAGCTCCTTGGCCGTCCCCTAGATCCCGAGCCAGGTGTATCTTGACTGCTTAAAAAGGATCCGCCACGTCACAAGGGCAAAAAAGTCGTGACATGCTGGTCTTCGGCGGGTTTCTTCGCAAGTTCTAGGGGCAGCCCACAAGGTTTTGATCCTTCTTGTAGCAACTGGCCTTGAGGATACTGCGGATACTCAATTCAGAATAAACACCCGTTGGTCTGACAAAGCAACGGCTCAAAGAAGCCCGTCAGAAATTGGTTCTTCTGAACTTCCTCACTTTCACCTTTTGAAAGCACCAAGTGCAAAGCAGCACACCCCGCTCGCAGGCTAGAGTGAGGCCATTTTGCTATGAGCCCCCTTGCTGGCAGGACATGTCGTTGAATATACCTCCTATAGTGCAAACATCATCAACATCACCGTCTTTTTGAAGACTTGACCACTACCTCGACCTCAAGGACCAAAAACGGGAAGTATTTACTGTCTTCTGTCTTCCCCCAGACATGTCTAATTGAGTCTATGCAATATGCATGTGTCAATGGTCCATGTACGTACAAGGAAAAGTCGGACCAAGAAGACTCCTTGAAAGATCATAGCTATCAAGAACCCATCACCGGGTACACCCCCCCTGAGATCCTCTGAGTAGGTGGCAGGTCCGGCACCACCCCACCTTCCGTCCCCCCTTTTCTAAAAGCGACCGGGTCGGAGCACCAAAGGACCATCCGCTTCCCCAGCAGCTTCACCGGATTGGGCCGATCCGAGTGCAGGTAGTCCAAGGGCGCGATGGGGTACCAGGCACGATTCCAATCGAAGAGTTCTTTCACTTGCTCCTCCGGACTGAGCAAGGACGCTACGAACGGGGCTCCTGGCATCGCGACTAGGAACAAGGTTCGCTACGATCGGGGCTCTTGGCCTTACTACGAACGGAGCGATCGGACACTACGAAGATGAGAGAGGTCCAGACGACGCGGAGAGGGTTTTCATGATCGTCCTCTCTGTGGGTGAGACGAGGTGCCTGCGGCAACTCTTGGGTCTTTAAACACATGGGACACACCAACCAACATAATCTCGGGTCGTCGGGTCGTCGGTTGACGGAGCTGGAGGTCTCAGACGTTATTCTGGAGCAAATCTTGTGCAGCTGTGCATCTCGGAATGCTTCGAGTCTGAGAGGGTTGCACTTCTATTCAACGACCGGTTCGGACCTCTCTCCTAGTCATGCGTAACGAACGTCCTGCTTCGATTCTGACAAAACTAGGTCCCCGCAGGTGGACATCGTTCGAGGCCAATCCACCCATCTTTCCCTTGTCCTTCATCTCTCGAAGTTCTTTTCCTGAGATGCCCGAGCTCTTGCCCGCTGCCTCGCGCAGTGCGAAGATGAAACTTCGAGCGAGCAAGACTGACACGAACAAGAAGTCCTGTATCGGATGATATCGCATGCTGAAGCAAGCATGCTGAAGCAACAAAAACGATGGTCACCATCACCCAACAAGAAGGGTCTCCGTCCAGTTCAGGGGCTGGTGTTTCCTTAGAAAACCCTCTTTCAACGGACCGCCACACGGAAAACGCCAACGGACGCGACCGGTACCTCCGCGGGAACCACCCACACGGGCCTCTTCGGACTGCTCTTGCGCGGCCAAGACTTGGGCCACCTCTGCGGCCTTTGGCAGCGCTGCAGCGTCTCGTGAAGCGCGGGTGAAGCCCGGGTGACCGGAATCATTGTTGGTGATACAGTGACCTGAGAATTGACCGGTGGTTTGGACCATTGTCCGAATACCAAGCCATTGATGTTGGGGTCATTTGGGGTCCATGTTAATCTACCGGGGGAGTATTGCATGTTTCCGGAAGTGCTTGGGGAGTGGAAAGGGGTCGAGGGCTTTGAAAGAGTCATCGACATGTCTTGTTTTCAGAGGTAGCGAACGTGAAGAGGAACTCCATGACGCATTCGTTTGCAGGATGAAACCTTGCTCAACCTATCTGAGGGGCCAACTCCTTACATGGAACGGGAACATCAAAATAAAACATGATGAACACGTCTACCACGAAGTGAGTTCGTTCGTTCACGGCGTGTCTTCCGATTCGAATCCGTTATGCTTGTTGCAGGGACATTGCAGGACATCTTGAGAATGGGTCGCATTCCTCCGTCGTCGCCTGTTGGTTCACCTCAGCCTCCGTCGTCTCACGCGGTGGCAGCTCCAAGTCCGCCTTTCGCGCTTTCGCCTCCTCACTCGGAACGGGCCGACCCGGTGTGACCGTGTGACCCGGTCCCGAAAGGCGGGAAAGGACGACCCATCCTTCGTTGGGGGACCCATTTGAATACCCACTCTTGTAGGACACTCTTCTGGGACACTCTTCTGGGACAGTCTTGTAGGATACTCTTGTGGGTCACTCTTGTAACATTGTAGGACACTCTTGTGGAACACTCTTACAGGACACTCTTGTGGGACACTCCTGAAAGGCACTCTTGTAGGACACTCTTGTGGGAGGGACACTCTTGTAGGACACTCTCGTGGGACACTCTTGTAGGACACTCTTGTCGGGCACTCTTATGGGACACTCTCTTGTGAGACACTCTTGTAGGACACTCTTGTGGGTCACTCTTACACGACACTCTTGTAGGACACTCCTTGTGGGACACTCTTGTATGAAACTCTTGTGGGATACTCTTGTGGGACACTCTTGTGGGACACTCTTGTAGGACACTCTTGTGGGACACTCTTGTTGGATACTCTTGTAGGACACTCTTGTGGGACACTCTTGTGTGACACTCTTGTAGGAAACTCTTGTGGGACACTCTTGTAGGACACTCTTGTGGGACACTCTTGTGGGATACTCTTGTAGGACACTCTTGTGGGACACTCTTGTGTGACAGTCTTGTAGGAAACTCTTGTGGGACATGGGACACTCTTGTAAGACACTCTTGTGGGACACTCTTATGGGACACTCTTGTGGGTCACTCTTGTGGGACACTCTCATAGGACACTCTTGTAGGACACTCTTGTGGGACACTCTTGCAAGAAACTCTTGTGGGATACTCTTGTAGGGCACTCTTAAGGGACACTCTTGTGAGACACTCTTGTGGGACGCTCTTCTGGGACACTCTTGTGGGACACTCTTGCGGGACACTCTTGTAGGACACTCTTGTGGGACACTCTTGTGGGACACTCTTGTAGGAAACTCTTGTGGGACACTCTTGCTCTTATAGCACGCTCTTGTGGGACACTCTTCTGGGACACTCTTGTGGGACACTGTTGCGGGGCACTCTTGTGGGACACTCTTGTGGGACACTCTTGTAGGACACTCTTGCGGGACACTCTTGTAGGACACTCTTCTGGGACACTCTTGTGGAACACTCTTGTCGGACACTCTTGTAGGACACTCTTGTGGGTCACTTGCAGGACACTCTTGTGGGACTCTCTTGCAGGACACTCTTGTAGACACTCTTGTAGGACACGGTTCTGGGACACTCTGGTGGGTCACTCTTACACGACACTCTTGTAGGACACTCCTTGTGGGACACTCTCATAGGACACTCTTGTGGGTCACTCTTATGGGACACTCTTGTCGGACATTCTTGTGGGACACTCTTATAGGACACTCTTGTGGGTCACTCTTATGGGACACTCTTGTCGGACATTCTTGTGGGACACTCTTGTGAGACACTCTTGCAGGACACTCTTGTGGGGCACTCTTGTGGGACACTCTTGTAGGACATTCTTGTAGGACACTCTTGTGGGACAATTTTGTGGGACACTCTTGTGGGACACTCTGGTGTGACACTCTTGTAGGAAACTCTTGTGGGACACTCTTGTGGGACACTCTTGTGGGACACTCTTGTAGGAAACTCTTGTGGGACACTCTTGTAGGACACTCTTGTGGGACACTCTTATAGGACACTCTTGTGGGACACTCTTGTGGGACACTCTTGTAGGACACACTTGTAGGACACTCTTGTGGGACGCTCTTGTGGGACACTCTTGTGGGACACTCTTGTGGGACACTCTTGTAGGACACTCTTGTAGGAAACTCTTATGGGACACTCTTGTAGGACACTCTTGTGGGACACTCTTATAGGACACTCTTGTGGGACACTCTTCTGGGACACTCTTGTAGGACCACTCTTGTGGGACACTCTTGTGGCTGTGGGACACTCTTGTAGGACACTCTTGTGGGACACTCTTGTGGCACACTAGAAGCAGTCCTGCGAGCGTTTCGTACGAGACGTCCTCCGAAAGTCACGCTTCGAGGCTGCGCAAGACGAGGGTTTCGTTCGAGACTTTCTCCAAAAGTCACGCGTCAAGTCTCCAAAACGAGCGCTTCGTACGAGACTTCCTCCAAAAGTCACACGTCAAGTCTCCAAAACGAGCGTTTCGTACGAGACTTCCTCCAAAAGTCACGTGTCAAGTCTCCAAAACGAGCGTTTCGTACGAGACTTCCTCCAAAACTCACATGTCAAAGTCTGCAAAACGAGGATTTCGTACGAGACTTCCTCCAAAAGTCAAGCGGAAACACCCATCGGAGCACACACATCACGCAGCCCTGCCAAGCAGTTTCGCGAGTCCAGCCCCTCCAAACAATACCCGCTCACACGCCAATCCCAATGTGACAGCGACATTCACCTCTACCACAACTCACGACCGCACGTTTCCCTGCGCCTGCCACGAATCTTTCCGCATCCACACGTCTAACGCGCACAAAGTACTGCGCCTGCCACGAAATGTCACCTCCGTCACACCTCGCAACCTCACGATTTCCTGCGCCTGCCACGAAAATCGCACTTCCACACCTCAAAATCAGCACAAAGTACTGTGCCTGCCACGAAAAGTGAGAATATCATCTCACGTGAGCTTCAACAAAATTTGCACCACACCACACGCTTAGAATGATTTCGACCCGTTCTGAGCACACTCCCATCCACCAAAATCACCATTTCAGCTGAGACTTGTCACGAAAACAGAGCTTCGATGCCACACCCTGAAACGCAAATCTGAATGGCACGGCCACATCCAACACCCCAAAAACACGACTCTCCAAACGCTAATCCCAATGGAACTGCGCAGTAAACTGCGGATCTCTCAAACCACTGCGCCTGCGCAGCGAAATGCATCACGTTTCTTGCGCCACATCTCATTTTCATGCAAATCACAATGGAATAGCGGCGCAAACTGACACGTGACACATCCATGAAAAGTCACTTGCAAAAGCTTCCCCCAATGGCAGCGCCTTAGCGTCCTACTGCAAACGGTTGCGGACGGTTGCGAACGGTTGCGGACGGTTGCGAACATAGAAGCAACGGGTCGCGAACAAGGCTCTACCCCCAGACCCCCAAGAGTTAAACGAGAACCCTTCGCTACGCATTCGGGAAAAGAAACAACATGAAAGCAACCACAAGGGCAAAAAAGTCGTGACATGCTGGTCTTTGGCGGGTTTCTTCGCAAGTTCTAGGGGCAGCCCACAAGGTTTTGATCCTTCTTGTAGCAACTGGCCTTGAGGATACTGCGGATACTCAATTCAGAATAAACACCCGTTGGTCTGACAAAGCAACGGCTCAAGGAAGCCCGTCAGGTTCTTCTGAACTTCCTCACTTTCACCTTTTGAAAGCACCAAGTGCAAAGCAGCACACCCCGCTCGCAGGCTAGAGTGAGGCCATTTTGCTATGAGCCCCCTTGCTGGCAGGACATGTCGTTGAATATACCTCCTATAGTGCAAACATCATCAACATCACCGTCTTTTTGAAGACTTGACCACTACCTCGACCTCAAGGACCAAAAACGGGAAGTATTTACTGTCTTCTGTCTTCCCCCAGACATGTCTAATTGAGTCTATGCAATATGCATATGTCAATGGTCCATGTACGTACAAGGAAAAGTCGGACCAAGAAGACTCCTTGAAAGATCATAGCTATCAAGAACCTATCACCGGGTACCACCCCCCTGAGATCCTCTGAGTAGGTGGCAGGTCCGGCACCACCCCACCTTCCGTTCCCCTTTTCTAAAAGCGACTGGGTCGGAGTACCAAAGGACCATCCGCTTCCCCAGCAGCTTCACCGGATTGGGCCGATCCGAGTGCAGGTAGTCCAAGGGCGCGATGGGGTACCAGGCACGATTCCAATACTCTATTCCGAAGGTGCTTGGCATTGAAACATGTAGGTTTCATACCTTGTGCGCCATCTATACGGGTATGAGAACTTACCCAGAAACCAAGCATTGGACAGGGGATAATGGATGGCGTTTGTTTTTTGAGAGGTCAGACATGCTTCCACTCACGAATGGCTCATAAGCACATGTCACATGTGGGAAACAAAGACATATTCAATGCAAACATGTTACCACATAAAGGGGGAAAAAGAGTTTGAAGATTGGGATGTGGAACGTGAGGCCATGTCTATAGTAGATGGCGCCCCTACTTGGCACTTTGGTTTATGGTGTATCAAAGTGGCGCTTGCGCCATCTACTGTGTAGCCTGCGCATGTGCCATCTACCGCTCGCTCCCTGTGCCATGCACCTGGGGAAAAGTGTAGAAGAGTTCTTTCACTTCCTCCTCCGGACCGAGCAAGGACGCTACGAACGGGGCTCCTGGCATCGCGACTAGGAACAAGGTTCGCTACGATCGGGGCTCTTGGCCTTACTACGAACGGAGCGATCGGACGCTACGAAGATGAGAGAGGTCCAGACGACGCGGAGAGGGTTTTCATGATCGTCCTCTCTGTGGGTGAGACGAGGTGCCTGCGGCAACTCTTGGGTCTTTAAACACATGGGACACACCAACCGACATGATCTCGGGTCGTCGGGTCGTCGGTAGGTCTCAGACGTTCTTGTTGGGATTCTGGAGCAAATCTTGTGCAGCTATGCATCTCGGAATGCTTCGAGTCTGAGAGGGTTGCACTTCTATTCAACGACCGGTTCGGACCTCTCTCCTAGTCATGCGGCATGCGGAACCAGAGGTGGACATCGTTCGATCCCAATCCACCCATCTTTCCCTTGTCCTTCATCTCTCGAAGTACTTTCCCTAAGATGCCCGAGCTCTTGCCCGCTGCCTCGCGCAGTGCGAAGCCGCATCGAGCGAGCAAGACTGACACAAACAAGAAGTCCTGTATCGGATGATATCGCATGCTGAAGCAAGCATGCTGAAGCAACAAAAACGATGGTCACCATCACCCAACAAGAAGGGTCTCCGTCCTGTTCAGGGGCTGGTGTTTCCTTAGAAAACCCTCTTTCAACGGACCGCCAAACTGGAAAACGCCAACGGACGCGACCGGTACCTCCGCGGGAACCACCCACACGGGGCCTCTTCGGACTGCTCTTGCGCGGCCAAGACTTGGGCCACCTCTGCGGCCTGGCAGCAGCGCTGCAGCGTCTCGTGAAGCGCGGGTGAAGCCCGGGTGCCCGGAATCATTGTTGGTGATATCAGATATCTCCAAACGATCCCATGGAACCTGAGAAGGAAAACCGGTGGTTTGGACCATTGTCCGAATACCAAGCCATTGATGTTGGGGTCATTTGGGGTCCATGTTAATCTACCGGGGGAGTATTGCATGTTTCCGGAAGTGCTTGGGGAGTGGAAAGGAAGGAAGAAAATGGCTGAAGTTCTTGGAGAGAATCGAGAAAGCATTTGGAGGGGTCGAGGGCTTTGAAAGAGTCATCGACATGTCTTGTTTTCAGAGGTAGCGAACGTGAAGAGGAACTCCATGACGCATTCGTTTGCAGGATGAAACCTTGCTCAACCTATCTGAGGGGCCAACTCTTTACATGGAACGGGAACATCAAAATAAAACATGATGAACACGTCTACCACGAAGTGAGTTCGTTCGTTCACGGCGTGTCTTCCGATTCGAATCCGTTATGCTTGTTGCAGGGACATTGCAGGACATCTTGAGAATGGGTCGCATTCCTCCGTCGTCGCCTGTTGGTTCACCTCATCCTCCGTCGTCTCACGCGGTGGCAGCTCCAAGTCCGCCTTTCGCGCTTTCGCCTCCTCACTCGGAACGGGCCGACCCGGTGTGACCGTGTGACCCGGTCCCATTTAAATGCCCGGGCTCATCTGAAGACCATGCTGATTTGCCTTGCAAAAAAAGAAACAACATGAAAGCAACCACTGGTTGACCGAAAAAAGCGTTGGCTCCTTCTCGGATTCTTTGCTGTCCTGAAACTCCTCTGGCGATGTCTTCTCCTCCTTCTGTTCTTCCTTCTTCTCTTCCGGTTTCTCCTCCTTCTTCTCGTCCGGCTTCTCCTCCTTCTTTTCCTCCTTCTTTTCCTCCGACTTCTCCTCTGGTTTCTCCTCCTTCTTCTCCTCCTTCTTCTCTTCCGGCTTCTCTTTCGGCTTCTCCTCCTTCTTCTCTTCCGGCTTCTCCTCCTTCTTCTCCGACTTCTCTTCCAGCTTCTCTTTCGGCTTCTCCTCCTTCTTCTCTTCCGGCTTCTCCTCCTTCTTCTCCGCCTTCTCTTCCGGCTTCTCCTCCTTCTTCTCCTTCTTCTCTTCCGGTTTCTCCTCCTTCTTCTCTTCCGGCTTCTCCTCCTTCTTCTCCTCCTTCGTCTCGTCCGGCTTCTCTTCCTTCTGTTCCTCCTTTGCTTCCTTCTTCTCCTCCGACTTCTCCTCCTTCTTCTCTTCTGGCTTCTCCTCCTTCTTCTCCTCCTTCTGAGCTTCCGGCTTCTCCTCCTTCTTCTCCTCCTTCTCTTCCGGCTTCTCTTTCGGCTTCTCCTCCTTCTCTTGCGGCTTCTCATCCTTCTCTTCCGGCTTCTCCTCCTTCTTCTCCTCCTGCTTCTCTTCCGACTTCTCTTCAGTCTTCTCCTCCTTCTTCTCCTCCTTCTCTTCCGGCTTCTCCTCCTTCTCCTCCTTCTTCTCCTCCTTCTTCTCCTCCTTCTTCTCCTCCTTCTCCTCCTTCGTCTCTTCCGGCTTCTCTTCCTTCTGTTCCTCCTTTTCCTCCTTCTTCTCTTCCGATTTCTCCTCCTTCTTCTCTTCCGTCTTCTCCTCTTTCTTCTCCTCTTTCTTCTCCTCCTTTTTCTCCTCCTGCTTTTCTTCGCTCGCCTCTCTCTTTTGTTCAGGCTCCTTCTCGTCCGCGCTCTTCTCCTTGCGGCAACGCCCCCTCTACACCAATTCCAACACCCGCGGATCATGCATAGCTAACGATGTAATGAACAACGACCCTCTCTGCTAGGAACCACACTCCAAACAACAGCCCTAAGGCTCTCAGTGGTTGTATTCTTGCAGTTGTGGTTCCCTTCCCCCATCTTCTCCCTGACTTTTGGTGAACTTGGATGCTGATGGATGGCTTTGGTTCCAACACTCTTTTTGCTTGTCAACGTTCCAGTCCTCGGACGCTGGTTCAGCTTCTGTGGCCTCACGCTGGGCGAAAACATATATAGACTAGAAATCCACTCCGTCAATTTTAGACACTCCTACCCTCGAAGCAACCTCCATGGAACGATGTTTCCAGTGCATTTTCCTTGTCACTGCCTTCTTCCCCTTCCTCTTCCTGCCACTCTCCATGGCGCCTCACCATCCTCGCTGCACAGCACCACCACCCGCGCGCTCGGCCCGCGCAGCCATCGGTGCTGCGCCAAGCCGCGCCGGCCCAGGCCGCCTCGGCCGGCCCGGCGAGGCGATCGAGTGAGAAGTCATCGAGTCTGACGGCCACATCCAGGCACTACAAGGTAGTAGCAAGGTGCCTTACTAGTAGTGACAGGTAACGGATGGTAACGGTATTTTTGAGATACTATATTCAGCTTGCAAGAATTGGCTCTCACCTCACACAAGACCCGTGCCAACGAAAGCGGATGAAAGCGCCCGGCTCGCCTGCAAGTGCTATCCATCCGATTCGTTTTGGCCAAAGCGGTCCTGGTCCTGTTCACGGATTGGAGAAAGGGTCCTTCTGCCCACACTGATTGCTATGTTGTTCGTGTTTGACCAAAGAATTCACTGATTCTTGGGCCGTCTCACACATGATGTTGCTTGCGTTCCCTCTCCTTCCGTCCCTGCTACTTTGCGCAGGCAGATTGAAGCGGCGAACCGGCCACATGAAGGATGCACAAGGCGTGCCACATCCACCGGTGTCGGTGCCGGCCACATGGCCATGTGTTGCACCCAGAGTCGGGGGGACACTGACGGACAGTGGGCATCAGTTGGAACAGTTGACATGATAAACATCGATGCCTTGAAGATCCTTGAAGGGTAGAAAACCATGGAGAAGTAGTGTGGGAACCCCATGAAGGATGGTTCCAAGTGGCTGCTCTGGGTGGAGAGTGCCATCTGGTCATTGACAATCACAGCTCTTGGGCCATACGGCAGCAAGGGAACGTCCACCAGCTGCTGACGAGAATCAGCCGGGGCAACGATTACCTTCCTCAATGAAAACCGCTCCGCGAAGACATGACATGCACCAATGGGATCCAAAGGGAGCTTAGTCTGCACGACCTTTGAAAAAGGAAATGAAACCTCTGTACTCCAAACCAGTCACCACAACGTTGGCTTCCGGAACGGTTCCACGGCAAAAACGTCCGACCTCCAGCTGCATGCAAGCGCCAAAGTCCGCCAACTTCGCATTCCCAGAAGCGTCGATGAGGATGTTTGCGCCTGTCGTCTTGTTTGCTTTCGATGACCACTGTGGAAATCCGCGATAAGTTTATTCCAGAACATGGGCCTCGGAGGCACTTCTAAAGTGGTTGCTCCGCGCTGGTACTTAAGGAGCTCTTGAATAAAGCTGCTGTCTAAACGCTCCAAGCTATGGATGACTTTGAACAAAAATTGTTTGGAGGCCGGCATATGAGTCGTCTGGCACGACTACACCTGTGGATGGATGCGAGGTAGACCCACCACCGGTGCGAGCAAGGATCTGACCCTTTTCGCAAGTGATGGACTGTGAGATGGGACATGTCATCTGCAACACTTCAGCACCCTGAACCGGTGCCAAGCCAACCCAGGCAAAAGCATCACCCACTTCTTGCGTGGGCACAAACCGGCATAAACCAACTGATCTCTTTTGTACTTTTTTGTGATCTTCTGAAAGCACAAACACTGTGGCCAGCCAACTCTTCTCGCCTTTCACATCCCGGTGGACGATCTTCTCGTTGTGGAGGAAATCGAGGCCCTCCAAGATTTGCCTCAAACGCCGCAGTGCGTTGCAGCCGCTCAAGGCATCGTCAAATTATCGGATGTCCAATCTCAAAAGCTTGGGAGCTGAGCTGAAACGAACAAACTCTTGGATTATGTGCTGCCCAAACATATAGTTTTTCAAAAGTAAAACAAAAAACATAAACATTATATGTGACATATCGTAGACATACGTAGACTGGTTGGACTCGTAGACAAACCTCCCCTGCAGCGATATCTTCTCTCGTCGACAACTCCAAGCCTCGTGTACTTCTTCACCAGGCGAATCCCATACGCACCAAACTTTTGCAGCACCTGCATTGTTCTCATTGTTCTTTCGGTCGATCCCGAAAGAATCCAAAACGACGGGCACAGGACAGCAAAACAACGTTTTTTGGCAGAACCAGCATAAAAAGCCAACAAAAAGCAGTGCGATCACCACCGATGCCAATGCGGTCGTTGGTTCACGACGCTTTGGTGAACGAAGCTGGGCACCGCTTTGATGGAGCCGCTGGGCATGTACTCCAGGAAGATCAGCAGTGCTGGGTCCTCCTGAGGCATTTTCGGTCGCACGCCCTGTTTTCGAAGGAAGAAAACGGCAAAACGGCCACGTTTGGAAGAAGTATAGTATGACCATCTTGCTTTTCTCTTTGCCTTTTTGGAAAAGGAACTGAGGTCCGCCCACCCTACTGATATTCTGTATGCAGAAAGGACCTGTTTTTGTGTCCGGTACGAGCGAGCGAGCTCGAACTCCAAAGGCGAAGTGGCCTGACTTGGAGGGACCCGTGGGCTGAAGTGTTTGATGTCAAGTGCTTGGCACCTTGGAATAGCCACGTGTGACATGGCATTCTCGTACTTATACCAGTAAATTGATGTTCCGTTGGACTCCGGTCGTTTCTCAAGTATGAGTCAAATCCATCATAGCCATGAATTCTACATCATGAGCTTAGGCATCGGGATGACGGATCGGATCACGCATGAGGGATCCGATCGAACGTTGCGGACGGTTTCGGGGAAAGCGGTTCGCCCGCGGTGCCGCGAGTGGCCTCTGCGGTGCCGGGACAGTCACTCTATGTCACGACATAGCGCAGCTCTTAGACTGAAACAGCGCAGCCCTTGGATGCCGTGTGAAGAACCATAAGCTCCTATAAATGTGATCGAATGTGGTAAGTTTGTGCTTGTTGTTTCAAAACCCTTGGACTCCAAGGACCCAATCCTACGAAAGGTCATCTACTTGCATCCTTTTTGGGGGGGGAGCTGAGTCTCTGGGGTCTCAAGACATCTCAAGACATATGTACAAACTGGTGCACCAGGGAACATTCTCAAGGTCCTCGGTCTGCTCTCTGTCTGCAATTAGGTTTGGGCAAGCCAAGATTCTTTCTATCCACGGTACCCATTCCTTCCATACAAAATACTCCAGTTCGCTTACAGTATTTATTTGGTAAACTCAGTCCGTCGGAAGCTCCTCAGAGTGCATCCGGATACAGCCGTGGTACCGGACAATCCTCTGCACAGCCGCCGGGAGGGGTGGCACAAATGTCGACTGAGATCTCCTTCATCTCAACACATGAATTGCACCTACAATATCTATACCCTGTGGATCCCTGTGGACCGTGGCTCCAATCACGTTCATGCTAGTTTTGGGGCAGAACCCCCTACCTTTCACCACCACTTGGGATTTGATTTGATCCAAGAGTCCTGATGTCGAGTCCCATTCCCCCCCCACATGAAAACCTGACATGGGACTGGATGCCATTCTTGGGAATCTGTCCTGGGATGCTTCAATCGTTTCAGGGTATTGATCTCTTGCAAGAGGACATTGGCCTCCTGCGACAATACGGAGCAACACGATCGACGATCCGAAGAGCTGCGATGATCCGAGCTGCCGGGTGGGAAGCAAATTCTCAGTCTGTGCTATACCTGCGATAGCCTGAAGGAAAGTGCCCTGCAAATATGATAGATAGAATATGACATAATATATATATATATATATATTGGATCACACATTCAGGAAGGATGAGAAAGGTGGACCCATGAATCCCTCAGGTTCCCCTCTAAAACATTCTAAAACATATTGAGACTGTTTCTCTCTCTCTCTCTCTCTCTGTCTCTCTCAGGTCCATCCCATGGGCAAAAATCGACCAGCTATATATGTCTCCATTGCGACCCACTCAACAGGACAGACGCGGAGGATGCGATGATAAGATCCCACCAATCCTGGCAGTATATCTTCTTTCAGAATAACATAATGATTCGGGAAACCAACAACAGACAGGTCCAATGGGATCGCAAACTGTCGATCCCTCACGTCCAACTGTCCCATCCAAACCCCCGCCGCCACGTCTCCCGCTCAGCTTGCTTCTGAGCCAGGCTGAAGTCCAATGGGATCTGGCCACAGACTCGATGTAGCGACCAGTGCTGCCCGTTGGCCCCATTGGCATTTTTCAGTTTCCCTACGTCACGTCCCCGCTCCAAGATCGACCGAGACCCCAAGTCTTTGAGACCAAAGCTTCTAACGGCGTCTGCATTGAGGATCTTTTGAGCTTTATTTTATGTTTTTCAAGTACAGCATAAATATATACATAATATTTGAGGAGATATGTTTACAGGATAAGATATATATACATGTGTATTTATATCCTCTTGAGGATCCATTAGTTGTAATTTATATACCTAATTTATTAAGAATTAATATGTATATAATTATACATATACTTACAGTATAAACGAATACAAAATCCGACACCTCCGCAACCGGGGGTGCTCCCCAGGAACAGAAAGCAGGAACCGATTTTCTGAAGGTCAGGGAGTGGACTCCTCTGGGCCCCACCAGAAGTGCTTCCAAGCAAAAATCCCTCGCCCAAATAGAAGAAACCTTGCACTTGGTTTGTCTATGTTTGTCATGAGTCCTGAGGTGACCTTTTCAATTTTAGTCAGTGTTGGTCTTTGTATGCCTTTGTTGTTCTGGGCCAGAGCTATCAGATTTACAAAGTTCTGACGTGGCACAAAGCCTACTAGATATGCCTGCACTGAGTTGGCTATTGAAACATAAACACGTTGGGTTCTCGGTACCTTGGTTCGTCATGGTTCTTGTCTTGTGTTTCTGGGTGAGGTCAACCTGAGCCTTCTGTGGTCCATTTGGAAGTTCCTGCCCTGCATGTTGTCCATGAATGAAATGGCCAAAGCATCGGCGACTGCAGGGATCCCATTCCGGCCCCGACCGAAGACGTGCGCGGCGATGGTGACGTTCTGCCCTAAATGGGGCTTCGGTTTCCGTAACCTTCGCCCAACGGCGGAAATCGCCCAACGACTTCAATCAACTGAAGTTGCGTTGAAACGTTGATTTGCGACGCGAAATGGCAGAACTATTCTCCGCCAGTCTCTCTTCGTCTTTTACGCGCCAATGCTCAAACAACTCGACACTGCTGACTGTCTGTTCCTGGAACCACTCACCAAACGCCGTCTGAAGGCTGCTCGGCCAGGCCACTCCCTCCAAACTCGTCGAAATCATTGCCAAATGTGAAGCTCTGGAAGCTCAGGACTCGATTCCTCAACTGAGTTGGCTCAATCGATTCCCCTCGTAGCTTCAGTCACCCCCTCCTTGGTGGGGCCGACTCGACTCATCGACGGACGGTGATGAGGGCCTTCCGGCCGTCTCCAAGCCTCCTGCAGGTGGGCCAAGCCTCTTGTCACGGCATGTCGGACAAAGTGGCTGATTTCTCCAACGTCTCAGCCCTTCCTGGGCCAAAGTCTTCTTCAAGGAAAGCTGCTCAAATCTGCTCAAGTCTCTGGGACGAAAGAAAGCTCCAGCGAAATCGCATGCTTTCGCAGGGAGTCTATAGCAAATGACCCTTTGAACCTGAGAGCCGAAAGACCCTGGATCTGGAATCCGTGTCCATGGAGTCCAGAAACCTGAATCTTCAGTTCTTCATCAACTTCCAGTGATATTTGAATAAGCAACCCATCGTTCAAGATTCTACTTCAACAAGTGTGTTGCTTCACCAAAAAAAAAAAGAGTGGATACATCCCCGTTGAAATACCAGGGTGGGGATCTAGGGAGCCATTTTATAGCTATAAAACGGTGTGCATTGACCTCGGCACCATGAGTCTGGCTATAAAATGAGGAGTAGTGACCTCACAAAGAATTTCATAAATTGAGGGGGGCTGACCTCAAAACACATCTCCAACATACATGAGTAGCACCATAAAATGGCAATGCGTTCCTGCATAGAAAGAGCAAAGGACATCAAGAATGACGTCCAGAAACTCCAACATGAAAGGATGTTTTACCACCTGAAATTTGCTTGTACTTTTACCATTTAGATATCTCTACATCTCTCCATGCACTACTTTTGTTTGCAGGTGGTTGTTGTTGGCCTTGTACATTCCAGGCAACTTGCCCCCCGAGATCTTCCTAGGTTATACTGACATGATCTTAAATGCCCCAAGAGACAGAAACCACCATACTATAAAATGGCAAGGCGTGGCCTTCCTAGGGTCCATAAAGCTGTTGCCAGAAGCTGTGCCCCAAAGACTTGCCAAGTCTCTTGGACCCTCATGGGTCATTATTTGGGTGTGTTCTGGCAACAGCTTTATGGACCCTGGGAAGGTCAAGCCTTGCCATTCTATAGTATGGTATAGTATGGTGGTTTCTGGCCAAGCCCAAGCAGGCTAGAAGCAGGCTAGATGTTTGACACTGATGCTGAAGTTTGCTTAAAAATTACTATTCTCTATATAGATCTAGATCATTCTAAATCTCTCCAGCCACTCACTGTTTGTGTTTCCAGCTGCTTCTTGTTGCCAAATGGCTCCTGTTTTCTCGTTCATGAAAATTCTTCCAAAAGTTGTTTTCTCCAACCTGGATTCAAACAAAAATCTATACATCTCTGAACAGCATTGCTCACATACATCTTGATTCCACAGCCCAAAATCAATCACCATCCGGGAGAAAGTATGTCTTTCTATGAAATGGCGGGGTGCAAAAATCACTCGCCATCCTGAAAAGAGTCGTTTTCTATGAAAAGAGGGGGTGTATCCCCCAAAAGTTAATACGTAAAACATCATAAAACGTTTTATAGAGGGGGATGACACCCCCCAATTTCATAGTGGATATTCCATCGGGGATGTGGATACCATCCGACAGTCGACTTGGAAAACGATCAGACTTGAATGAATGTTTCCTGGATGTGTCAAACTTCCATTACACGCGCCACCACGCGCCACGCGCCACCCAGGGTCCACCACCAAGCCTTTTTGACCGCCATGAACCTCCCGGCCACCATCGCCTTGAACCTCAACCCCGAGACGAAGAACGACGGCTTAAAGACTCTCGGAAAAACCGACCGATCGTTTGGTGTACGAAACCGAGAACCAGGCCTAGCATGGCCTAGCGCTAGAGCGAGGCCTTGAGGTGGTTCACCAACACCTTCTTTGGTGAAAAAGGCTTTCAGGTTGTAGTTAGAGCTTTGGGAGTTAAACCACTGAAGATTCATACAAATCCCCTCAAGTCTGCTGAAAAATCTGAAAGTAGAACTGTTACAGTAGCGGGCTTTTGGCCACACATTTTGCATGCGCATGCGCAAAGTTCTCCAGACTGCAGAAAGCTCAGAGATTGGAGGAAGAATCCAGAATGTTTATATACCCGCAACAACTCGGTTTCCGCATTTGGCCTGTATACTGAGCAGCCTGGAAAACACGATGTGTAAAAGCATTGGAACATATAACATACCTTCTTTTCCGTTCGAATCGCACCTGACCTGTGTGGTACTGCGCCCAAAGCACCCATCTCGAACCTCCAGACACCCACGCTATGTGTCACCCAACGCATTTGTGGGGTCCGACCTTGTTTGATGCCGGCCCGTTTGGGCCACCGGGCACTTCACCGTAGGCTCCACGCCCCAGGGACTCGCCCTAAGCGATGATTCGTTCGGTGGCAAGAGCTCGGTGTCTTTCGAAAGCTGAAAGATCAAGGGGTGACAGTATGGTCTTAGAGTTGTTGTTCTTAGTTGTTCTGAGATGTGTTGAAAATACACTTCCTTTGACTCATCCACCTGTTTTGTGTATGCGTGCATGTGTCAAATGTTGTGATGGCATGATGGCATGTTCATTTCCCACAGCTCATCAGGGTCTTCAAACAGGCTGCAGTCGAAACTTCTCCTTCCTTTCTATCTTTCTGCCGCATCAAATGCTCCTCCCTCCAAAGGTTTCCCCCAAATCATCCCAAATCCACTCACGCGCAAAGAGCAAACAGCCCCAAGAAAGCACACCTGTTTGAAGGAGCGCAGGCGCTGGTCCTGCAAGGCAAGGCTGTGAGTTGAGGGGTCACCCTTCAAAAATGGCATCCCTCGGCCGTGAACGTCATCACGGCCAGTTGGTCAAGGTCTGTTCCTGTCAACACGGGTGTTTGGCAGAAAGGCAGGTCATCGGGTGGCGCTGCGCCGAACGCGCGCGCGCGGTGGGGTCATTCTCTGCATCCAGGCGCTCGTAGCTGGTGGCAGCTGGGGAACTTGCCTCGGTGTCCGACTCGCAGGGGTTTGGAAGTGGGAATGAAGCATCCAAAATCCACAAAAACCTGCGAAAGATTGTTTGCGACTGGAAGGTCAGGCCTTGGCAGAACCCGGAGACACTCCCGGTTTGAGTAGGCCCATGTGAGCAAAGCTCAAGGAGCTGTCATTTCAAGAGCTCAAACTTCATGGAATTCGATCGCTGGACTGAAAAGAATTGTCCGAATTCAATCGAGACCTGCCTACTTTTCAGGAAGAACCTCCGACCGATCTTCCAGGCCGTTTGGGCCTCTGATCAACTAGTTGGCCCCCCCGGCTGTGCCAGTGCTGGACTGACTGTCCCTTCGTGGCTCCAAAAACCTTGGTGGTACTGGGCGGACAGCTTCGTCACGAAAAGCATGTTCCTTCGCGATTTCCAAGGTTACCATGATGATGATGATGGCCCATGGTTCCGTGTCAGGATGGACACTTCGCTTCAATTACCTTGCCCGCCAATCCCTTGAACCCTCTGTTCCCGACTGCGCATGATCCGGCCCATGCAGCACGGCCCGCATGCACGATTTTGCATCCTCACCATGCGCTTCGGAGTGAAGTTTCTTTGTCCTCAGCCGGGCAAACCAGGCAGCGGGCATTTTTGGAGAAGTGCGGGGACGAACATCCCAAATCCGTCGCCCCAAATGGGCATGAGCACAATGGAAAACGACACCTGTACTGCTTGGCGGATGTTGGTGGGTTCAATATGTTTCAATTTTAAAAACACAATATCAGTCAGTGGGATCCATCATTACCAAGTGAAGGTTGAAGAAAATATCTGAAACCACCAGTTTAGAATTTGTTACCATGGCTCCTGAAGTCCAATGCAGAAGAACATAGAACCCATTCGTGTCCGCTCTCTGTTTTTTGTGCTGCCAGGGCACACTCAAGTGGTCCACAACACCGAAGCTCTGAACCTTCCAAGTGCCGTCAAACACGAAATGGCTCAAGCTGGTGTAGCCCACCTCGGTCCAAAAGGCAGGTTGGAGCCCCCCCCAGTGCTTGTTCCAGCCCGAAGCGCCAAAAGAACCAGCCCAGGCCAGGCTGCATAGTCGTCGCGGCCAAAAGCGCTGGCAATTCCCAGGCAGGATGCGCCATGACCGACAAAAAGAATGCGCCCAGGCAGTTTCTCCTCAGGCTACAATCAAAGTGACAAAAATCCGCAACTTTCCCGAGGGATTTCTCACACTTTTGCATGGGAGCAGAACTCACTACTTAAAGACATCGCTGTGATCACAGGGTCCAAAAATATGAAAAAAGCTTGAAAACCCTCCAAATCTACAGATTTCCTCCTCCCCATGTCTTCCTCCCCATTTCTTGACCTGGCCCTCACCGAGGATGAACCCCCGCCCAGGCGCCCTCAGCGCCAGGGCGGTGCGGGCGGCGCGCTGCGCCGCCTGGCCATCCGAGGCTTCGCCGCGCAGGGCGCCGCGCAGCGTGTGGGGCTCGTAGGAGAGATCGATGCACCTGGGAGAGCGCTCTCTGCCGGTCTGATCCAGTGGGTGTTTCTCTACATCGGAAGGCTTTGAGATCACAAAGACATACATATATTATATGCAAATATATATATATATATGTGTGTGTGTGTGTACGAGTATATATCATATAAAGATCGTGAAAGAACATCGCAAAATAGCGGATGTGGCGACATGAAACTGGCCAAAGAGGCCCAGATCTTGGACAAAAAGACTTCATTGTTCAGAATGTCCCAATGATTCTTAATATTCTTAGTAATTTGAAGTGTACCTCTTCTTTCCCTAAGCATCGCCCCCCTTAGAGAACCACATCACATGGGTTGGACTCCGGGACTCCGCGCTTGAACTGCTTCTCCAGATCCTCGGCGTCCAGGAAGCCTGGCGGGAAGACCTGAAGCCATGGTGTGGCCGACGTGTTGCAGATCGCCGCCTCCATTGGACTGTTTTAAGACATGGGAACGGCCTTGTTGTGTAGTAAAGTCTTTAGTACAACATGTGTTTTTCATCATTAAATTGTTGTCGGAATCCGGGAATCGATTTCGAACATGTGCTTCATGCTTCATGATGCACCACCATCATACCACGCTGCAATCATCACCAGTGCACCACTTTGAAGAAATACAATACAAAAAAGCGGAACAAAACAAAAACACCAGGTGCCTTTTCTTCCTGTTTTTCCCACCAGCTGGGCCCACCCGCCCGCCTGCAGGATCTCGCAAATGCCCGGCTCGACCTTGATTGGAAGGCCCAATCGCTGGGCCACGGGCACCGCCGTCTCAATACAGCGCCTCAGCGATGGAGATCTCCATCGATCTCCATGAGAAGCAATAGAATTTACCTTACGCACCCAAACCTTACAAATTTATGCATAGTGTCGAAGGCAACCCGAGGCTTTCCAGACCAGTACTAAAATATGGGTTAGTACGGGCGGGTTAGAAAAACAAGACCCGAGGCTTTAAGAACAAACCCAATTGATGCTTGATTTTACAAAAATACCGAGGTTTCGATTGAGAATTGAGACCCTACAAATTTACAGTATGGGGTTTGGGTGCGTAGGGTATGTCAATTTTAGAAGAAACATGTGAAAAACAAAAAAACTAAAATAACTATCACTAAAGAGCATGAACAAATAGAGCATGAACAAATGAAAACGGATTGAACAAAAGGAAGGTGCAATCATTGTCACTTGTCTCAATACACCACAACTTTATCCAGTCAACCTGAGAGATGACCTCTGTGGCCGGCTGGAGGCCATGCACGGAATCAGCTGCACTCAGCTGAGCAGCACAAACGGCGAGCTGATGATGTGGGCGAAGGGCCTGACTGATGCGACAGAATCGACGAATTTGTTGAGCTCGACCAAGCGAATCCCCTAGGAGTTCAAGACTATTTTGAGAATTGTCTTTTGGTGACCCGCAAAGGAATTCCTTTCCTTCGATGGTGCCAAATATAAGTCGAACTGGACTTCTAGGGAATCGGTGTAATAAATGTGGCCGGTGGGCAGGCTGTGAGCCCGGTTCCCATTGTCATTAGGTTCCCATTACAATTAGGTTGGAGATTGCGCGAAACTCGAGCTTTCACCTCTAGGATCTCCAATTACCCAGACCATCCATGTACATTTGCCTACATTGGGGGTGGTTTGGAGGGTATATATTCCACGCCCAGGACCCCTCACGACCATCGCCGCCGTGCCTTTCCTCGTGCAGCTCCGCGCACTTCGCTGCCAGCTCCGCCGCGCCCAAATGTCCAGCCGCCGAGAGCTGCGGGTCGTCGCGGCGGCCGTGGCCCGCCTTCGCCAGCCAGTGCCTTCGTCTTCGAAAGCTGCAACGCCACGAGTGGGACTGGGAGGACGAAAATGGACATGTTGTCTTTCATTATAGCGATGGCCTCCAACCTACTAGCGATGGCCTCCAACCTGCAGAAAAAGAGTGGGAAAATGATGCGGTGTTTTTCATCATGGCGATCGTCTTGGACTGCCGTGGAATCGTGGCTGGAGTTGTGCTGGAGTTGCTCGCCTGTCTTCTTTGTCAATACGCGCACCATGGCGTGTCAGGAACACATCTGCTTCGCTCATTGTAATCCTTCAGAGTGCTAACACAACCTGCCCCTCAACATCCAAGGATTGATTACTTACAGTACATAGAGGTGACAGTTGTAACAACCAAGGTGCAAGGCTGGAATGACTGTGGCAACCTTTTCATGACGTCGTGGTGTTGGTACTCAAAGCAAAGTAGTGCTCCTCTTTTCCACATTGCAGTGCTTCTCGTAAGATCTCGGAGCTTTGGACATGAAACGTTGAGCGGTGGATCAGAAGATGTCAGAAGCAACATCGCCAGATTGCAAGTTGTGACTCACCTCTTCAAAGGTCACCTCACATTTTGTGACCTTGACATGTCCCATGGTCCACCCATGAATACATGAACCATAGCTGGTGTCTGAGCCCCACAAATCCAGAAATCCCACGATTGATCCAGAAATCGAGACCCACAAATCAATACAAATCAACCCCCGAAAAGAAAAAAAACATTAAAAAAAACACCTTGCCCAAGCTGGGGCGTCGGTTCTTCTCTCCGAACGCATCGGTCGGTGCATCGTCCCGCACGACGTCCCTCAGCCCGCGACGCACCGGGCGCCACCGGCTCCGACTCCACCCCCTTGGCCTCGGGAGCGAAGTAGGGACGGAGGGGGAAGTTCGAGCACCCCAGCAGCAATGCAGAAGTTCTTTCATCTTTCAGATTCTTTTAGCAAGCCTACTCCCAACTTCCTTTCAAGACCTGTTGCAGAAGTTCGAGTTGGTCTTCAGACTGCACTTCTCTCACCCTTTGTGGGCGTCTCATGTTGCACACCTCGGTCCGTTGGACCTGCTTCCGTCGAAATTCTGTGAAGTCGATGCTTCCTGTCGGTAGCTTGTCGGTATGTCCTGTTCGTCGGTCCGTGTCCGTTGTTGTCCGTGCACGTCGTCCGTGATCGTTTCCTGGACAGACTCATGGCCGTCGGACACATCGACAGTTGCATCGGACACCGCAAGCGGGAGCGGTTTCCTTGAGCATCGAATGTACGTCTCTGGCGCCCTGTTTGGCCAAACAAGGATCTCATCATCTCATCGCTATCTGGGGTGCCAATAACTTCGCGTTTTGACGGACGGCAAAGCCAATATACCGATGCGGTGCCCCCTTGGTCTTGTGGACACAAAGGGGACGCTTGCCGAGATGACCGACCTCTAAGCCCTGTCCTACCATCAAAAGGAATACGGAATATGCAAACAAGACTGGACACCGACGATTGAAGTGGTGAAGAAATTCACAAACCAGCGTCGTGACGAATAAGTAGATTCCTATCCACTATCACTATCTACCTCACTTCAGGAGTTGGTCCAGGGTATCCCATGTATAACCTTATTACAACCTTGCATTATCTTGCATTACTATCTCCAGCACTCCAGCAGCTACAGTTGCACTACATGGCTCTTCAACCGTCCTCCATGCCGGCTGGGTGCATGCTGCAGGAGAAAGAGCCCTTGGAGCTACGAGTTCCAACAAAATCTCTGTTCGAATAGGGTGACCCTTCTTGTTCACGAGCTCTCGGCCTTGGGTCGTGGGGCCGCTTCGGCCACTCTTTCAGCCCAGGGGGTCTGTTCCGGGTCACCACAGGGACCAGACGTCTGGCGGAGGTGGCGGCGGTGGAGGCGGCGGCGGCGCCTGGTGACGGTGCTGCGCTGGCGACGGCGGGCAATCCCTGTCGATTGAGAGACGAAACAGGTTGTTATTAATTGGGTGTTCCTACGTGTTTTGTCTCCTTGCGAGGGACAACCAGTAACAACCACTGCTACCTGAAATACCTGCTTTCAGTGTGTTGTCCTTTGAGCCAACCTTTGCCTCTAAGAGATCAGGTTGCGATGCTGCGAAGCTGGCCGTGTGGCTTTGATGTCCACAGTCAGTCATTTTTTTTGCACGCGTGCAGTGCCAGCATTCGGAAAGAATGCGAAGGTGGGTTTTGGAAAGTCATCGAGCTCAAGGTGGAATATGGCCGAATGCTTCAAAGTACCCTCCCTTCGAACCCTACCCCTACCACGGACATCCCAAAATTCCAGGCTCCTACTCAGTCCTATGTCCATGCTTTCCGAGCTCTCCCCACCTCCGCCATGAGATGGCGCACCGGGTCACCGGGTCACGCGACGCGACGCTGTCCGCTTGCTTCGGCTCGTGAAGGATCCACGGTCCAGGAAAAAATCGAACGAACGTCATTGAGAGGTTACAAAGCTACAAACCAAGGGAGGTCCAAAGCTGGACTTGACATGGCAATAACATGTAATAACATCATCCACTGTCTAAGGCTCTAAGGAAGATCTTTGACCAAGGCTGGAGAGTGTTTCAAGCAAACAAAACAGGTCATGCGTTCACAAAATGGATTGGGATTCTTGAAAACTTCATGTCATTATTATTGTCTTGCTTGATCGCCTGATGGACACGTTCCCTCAAGAAAATTGTATTGGTTGATGTGTTGTGTGAAGCTTGAGCGGGCGTGTTTTCTGTTTTGTGGCTCCACAGCCTCTGGCTGCTGGGGGTTGTATTGACTTTTCTGCGCTGTTCGAGCCGGCGACAGGACCACAAATGGCGCATCCAGCCAAAAAACACAGCACAGCGGGCGGGCACTAAACGTGTTGAACTGATGGAACAAAAGGGAAAAAGATAACATAATGTAGACTCTTCATTTGTAGATTTCATAGAGGACCCCCCATACGAAGAGGCTTTACAACCCAAATTGGGGGGCTTTATTGATCATTAATCAAGACTCGGGGCACTTGCGGCCTTCCCGGAAGAATCTCAGAATGGTCCTGGGAATCTTCATCCACCTGTGGGGTCAGAAAATTCACCCAAACCATCATAAACCCATCTCATCCCCTTCCACTTCCACTCACGTCTTACTTCCCACCCAATCACCGCGCCATCTTTGCAACCCGCGAAGGGTTTTGCACAGCGTGGAGGAGGCTTTCTGGTGCTCGAGTCTCTCCTGGACAACCATCGGTGAAAATTGTCACTCGTTTGAAGGCAGTAGTCAGCATCACTCCCCCCTGTAACGTAACCATATGGACTGCCATCTCATCAGGCATGTCCAATGAAGTCCTCCTTTACAGAGCCTCCATGATGAAGGGTGCTTGAACCACCAACCCCTCGGATTGATGAAGAAGGCCGTTCCAAACACAGGCCGTTCCATGTCTCATCCGCCGCTGATCCCCTCACCAGCCCCCCTGTGTGATCTCCTTCCACAGCTCCAAGGCTCACCGGATCAACCTCGCCCTTCACGCTCACGTCGACCGCAGTCTCGGCTTCTGCGAATCTGAATCCGCTCATGGTGCCAGGCGCTTGAGGACGAAAAGCCCACCGCGGCCGCCTGGCAGCGCGAGATCCAGCAGCGCGAGAATCCACGACACGATGCCGGACGGGGAGAAGTGGGCAAAGTAGGAGGTGCCACTTGGAACGCACTAGTAACTAGAAGCTACTTACTAGAGGGAGGCCGTCGCTATTAGGTTGGAGGCCATCGCTACTGGTAACAATAAAGCTCTACTTTTCTCAAACTTCTGAGACCCACCCAGCCCAGCGGGCCCCGTTTCTGGTATGAGTCGTGGCAGCCCCGACTGGTCACGATGTCAACAAAAACACCAGTCTGGTGGAGTCGTGCGAAGGAAAGGAAGCTTCAGAGCTCGGATGTTCTGGGGTGGTGCTTTGACAGAAACAAGCCGTCGCCTCCTGTATCTCGTTTCCATGGTCAGACATGGCCAGGAGTTCAAAAGGTCTGTCCTAGTCTCCATCCTTCCAACAAGTGCCATGCCATGGTCTTCCAATCACTTCATCTGTTTAGGTGCCCATGTGACCATGTGTCCTTAAATCGGTGCTTAGATTAGGTATGTCCCATTGCCACGGGACACTTACTTATATCTATTCACCAAAGAGTGCCGTTCCCAGTCTACTGAGTCTACAGTGTGTCGCTGCGAATTCACCCAATCGACCTATCGAATTCTTCGGGTTCTGTGGCGTCAAAGGTTGCCCAGCAAGCAATGCTTGGAGTGCTACCCTCAGGCCGACGAAAGTACTCTGGGCACCCGCCCACTCAAAATATGACAACGCTGAGCCAGAAATGGCCGGAGGGAAATAGATGTGGATCAAAGATGGTATACCTCCCATCAGATTGTAAAGGAGTAGATGTGGGCAATCCGTGCTCTTTTGGATCATCAATGTTTGCACCAAATCTACAAGGATCGATCAAGAACAGAAACCGTGTAGTGGACATGGTGATTTTCTTAGGATTCATATCAGAATAGAATCTATCTCTAGCTGCAAATTGGAAAGCTATATAAGATTAGATAAATAACAACTCAATATCCTCCCATTGGACATACCCAACATCTCATTGGACGCACCCTTCAAGCTCGGACGCTCGGACATCCAGCGGTGCGGCGCCTCGCGAGAGCCGCAGCTCGCGATCACAGAAGCTGGTGCGGAGCCGGCCCCTGGGCCTGCCGGTTCACACGTGGTGCGAAGGCAAACCCCGCATCCGACCAACAAGATGGCGGACTCCGGTCATCTATATATTTATATTAAGCTATCTCAGTAAGATTATGTAAGATTGCATATACGTACATGTGAAGCGAAGAAGAAACATGAAGAAACACTAAAATCTTGCCAGCATACTCATGCTCGCACATGAATCAACATGTTGGCAGAGAACACCAAAATGGTAATGGATAAACAGTCAAATGACTCCATACAGGGGGGCCATTTGCTTTTCACAGCCCAGGAGTGTTTTCTCCATTCACCTGGGCAGTGGCAGCTCCACCATGGGCAGGTTGGGCAACTCCACCACGAAGCCTTGGCGGAGAACTGTTGTATTGACAGACTCTGCTAATTCCACCCGCCAAGGCAAGAAAAGTCCATCTTGGCAAGGCCATCTTCCTTTGTTTGGCAACCCAAACCATCACACCCGCCTAGCAAAGGAAGATGGCCTTCCCAAGTCCTAGTGCCATTGGTTTGTCTCGAGGAGTGATCTGTACTTCCAAGAGTCTCAGCTTTCCGATGACAGGGATGATCCCCAGCCCAAACCACCAGGAGTCCCTCGGAGAACTCCTTGAACTTGGCAAGCTGCGTTGTTTGTTTGGATGCCACAGAAGACCTCCCTCAGCTCAATGACTGTCCCCTTGGTGTCCGTCCTTCCACCCGACGCACCAAGCGGCTGGTGAAGGTAACCTCCAAATCTCTGGGATCCTCTCCCGCCAAGTCGCCCTGGAGCGGACGAGGCCGGACAGCGCGTTTTACTGAACATGCTGGACGGAGTGGAGAGGTGTTTTCTATTCTTTTCAGCTGAACATGCAGCCCGCAGGGCGTGGGGAGCAGACGGAAGCAAAGGTTTTGGAGGTCTAAGTCTACTTTGATATCTCTGGTGTGGGTGTCAAACTTCCTTCTAAGATGTTTATCAGACCCACCCTGAGGAAGCAGTCGTCGGTTTAGAGGTTCAAGTGTCTTTTCCAGGATGTAGCCCTCCAATGGTGCGAAGATCTCCAATTCGAGATCTCCAGGTCATTGTGGAAGATGCAGCAGGAGTCATCCAGTCATCCATTCATCAAACGGTGTCAAACATACACTTGCTAGCAAACCTCTTGTACTTGCAGCTCCTTAACACCAACAACAACGCTTCGAGAAAAAGGAGCCCACCGAAAGCACCCACCGATCCGTTCCACCGACTCCGTTCAACACGGTGCGATCCGCAGACTTCGTCGCCTTCACGCGGACGTTGACCTTGGGCCCTGAGGTTCCCAGACGTAGCGCCACACGGTTGTCCACGCGCTTTGAGGCGAAATCCTGCGCCGCCACACATCCGATGGTTTGTTGTGTCTTGAGACATGGAGAAGATGTAGAAACCGAACACTCTGTCTCAATATGCTCTTAGGGGGTCTTCCTCAACCCAGCACCCACCATTCTTTTTGTAGGCCTTATTTTCATCTAGGCCAGTTACACTTGTTTGGCAATTTGGGAGGTACAACTCTGTTCTTTCCATTTCTTGATCCACCCCAATGGTCGAGAAACTTGCGCAAGCTCTCGAAGGCTCACACTCCACAAAACCTCCATGGAATGGCTTGCGTCCGTCCGCGAAGCGGATGATGTGAATAGCCTCTGCAAATTAAGTACACTTGGCCCTCTCAAGAAGGTATTTGCAGAGGCCATCCACGTCCATCGCCATCGTGCATATGTCCAACCGTTTGGCTCTCAAATACACCTCCACATCCATCGCCACAAGAAGGGATGTTACCCACCAAATGCTTTCGATCTGCACTTCCCCTTCGTGTTCACGCGCAGGGTCAACGGACGCTGCTCGTGTCCACCAGCTGCTCGTTGCCGATGGAAAGGCTGAAGGGGCCAAGAACTTCGACCTGTCGACTGCCCGTCGTCTCTGGGCAAAGCAAAGTGAGAAGACGTAGATCACTGTCGTGTAGACCGTTGATTCAAAGAAGGTCCCTCCAAAAAAGAAAATGTATATAAATAATTGTAAATAAGTTATTTCTAAATCAACCCTCCACATTAAGCCACTTATAGAGGAACTTGCATCAATCTATACAATGGTTTTCCTGAATTGTTCTGTGTCATTATCCAGAGATCTTTCTCTATATCAGGCCTTGCAAATTCCAAACCGCTACAGTAGAGCCGCACATATTTTTCCGGGCCACAAAGAGCTGACTCAGTTTGCATATTCAGTCAGAGCGAAGGTCGCCCGCGGAGCGGCTAAGCTTCACTCCTTAAAAAATAGAGTAGATTTGAGTAGTGTTTACCAGTTGAGTAGTGTTGACCCAACATGTTGATCCACCATGATCCACCAACAATCTCCAGTTCCCTGGCATGACCCTGCCGTTCGCTCGGAAAGAAGTCGTTGTTTTCTGCCGGCCGGCACCCTTCGCCGCGGAACCGTGGTTTCCACGCCCCGCCGGTGTGGTCTTTACAGGTCTTTACAGTAGTTTCAGAGTAGATGGCACAATCCCTGAAAGGTGGTGGAAAAAAAGACCCCAATCTAAAGAAACATCTTAGGGGTTGTGAAATCGACTCTGAAACCACAGTAGTTCGCAAGCAAGGTGCCACTCGCTTTTGCAGGTTTTGCAGTACAATGTCTGACCCCTCGTAAAGACCTCGTAGTTGTTGCTCCATGTGAGAACTCCAACAGCTGCCTCCTCAATCAGTGAAGCACAGTAGGATGCTTGGGCAAGCCGCGAAAAAGGACTACAGTAATTAGTCTTCGAGTCTAAACTGAGATGGACGCGTTCTCGGGGCATCTTCCCGGCATCTTCCTGAGGATCTTCAGGTCCCCAGGCCTTGGGGGGGCTTGGGCACCGCCATTCCGTCCCTGCCAGCCTTGGGCTTGTCCTGGCCACCGGCCAAAAAGGGTGCAAAGCGAAAGAAGAGTCGATACAAGGCCGCCGTCAGGGTGCTGAAGATGGACTCCTCCGCCGCTCCGCCGGTCCGTTTTCGCCTCGTTTCGGGTCTCTCAACCCCAGCGAGATCCGAAAACCGGAGGGAGAGCTCAAGCGAGCTAAGAAGCGAGCGAGAAAGAGCTGGGAGATCCGAGGATGGCCCACTGTGGGAGGTGTGAACAATTCAAGAGCCAAGGTCTTAGGAAGATACGTTTGAACAGTGCAATCTATCATCTAATTTGGAGAGCTTGACAAGAACTTGGTGGGGCTTAGTTGGTGCTTTGTTCTTTTCGTTCACACTGGTGGGTGAGGCTTATGGCTTCAAGGACCCATATGCGCTGGGAGAAGTTGAGATGGTCCTGAGCAAAATTTTGGGTGAGGATGCTGCTGTGTGCAGAAGTTCCTCCAAACAAACAAACGACAAATGGGAGATAGACCCCCAAGACAGTCGGGGATAACCACAAATGCAGAGAGCTGCAACTGAAGCCTATTATTGATGGATTTTGGTGAACGGTCCTGCGCCTGAATGACCTGTCAACGAACAATTGGCTAAATGAGGACAATCTGGGTTGAAGCCAATGCACGTCGATTCACCTGCCCCAATAACAATCAAGATCCACTCCAAAACAACCATTTAATTTGCTCCCCCGAACAGGTCCCTCTTTTGTTCTCCTCCTCCCCCTCTCCTCCTGCTTCACATCAGCAGCAGTCTGCGTGGAGTAGACCAAGGACCATCTGCCAGCCACTGGGGACTCGGTGAGTCCCAGATCTTCCAGCTCTTTGGCTTTTCGAAAGATCTCCTCCTCGCAGCTGCGACCCTCGCGGCCCCCGGTGGAGGGCTCGCGGGACCCGCCGTGGGCATAGTGGTCTTGGTGTGTCCCGCACATGTAATGAGGAGGTGCGAATGGAAACCCACAAAGGTTAGGTCTGAAACGAAAAACGGCTCTACTTCCTTAGCAACTATAGTCAAGTATTGATTCTATGTTGGTGAACTCAGGGCTAGACGTTTCTAGACACTGCCGGAATCCTAAGCTCAACGGTTTTAATCCCTTTAGCAAGCCCAATTCTCACACTACAAAAGGGATCAAAAAGGTTGGTCTGTCCACTCGGAAAAAAGGACTTCATACATACACACTCTTGCCACACCATCACTGCACGAAACCGTTTCAAAGGTTGGACAAAACTGAGCAGAAATAGCAGAATATGGACTGAAGCAACCACACCATCTCATGCCCAATCATCATACATAACCTGGACGACATAGTGTATGAACGAACTAAAATATGCTGGGAACTCCCTGACCCCCCCACCTTTCTCCTCCTTCCCTAACCAACACCGTCTCCTGCGCTCCAGAGGCCACCGCCCCGAGCAAGTCCTTCTTCAGCGCAGCCGTCGCAGCTCGGTCGCCTGGAGCCGTCCGAGCCGGAGCGGTTTGGGGAGTAGGGAATCGAGAGACCTTCGCAGGTTGGACTTCCAAGACGAGGAGAAGCACTTTTTCATACTTTTTCCAAGCTTGAAGGAACACACGGCATTCTCCGAATCACCTATTCTCCAACCAACGACAGCTCCGTGGGGTCGAAGTCGTGCCAATGCACCTCCAACAGTTCACCTGTTCTCTCACACCCTCCACTACCCCCCGTTCTCCCCACTCCACACCACACCCACACGGTCACCCGGCACCTGGCAGCACCAACGACACCGTGCGCGGCACCGTGAACGCCACCCACACGGTCAGTGGCGCCAAGGCCTTAGGACCCAGCGACGCTCGCCCCAGCGACGTTGACCAAGGGGAAATGCCGGTGTCCCCTGAAATGCAACACAGGGTTTCTCCGTTTTTTGTGATTTGAAAGTACCTGTACACCTGTTCTTCTCCTGCCACTGGAAACAAACTAGATTTGGGACATCCAAACGAAATTCTGCACCTCCTGCTTCGTCAAACTCACCTCACGCCGCTTCGAACGGGCTCTGGGTTGCTGGCCATGCGCGGCCTGGTGGCGCTTTCCGGCGACGCTGCTGTGTGTGGTTTTCGTTCCGTGCCGCGTCCGTTCCCCGGCGAAGGGAACGGTACAACGAACGACCGAAGGCACGGAACGAACAAGACGCTCTTCGTTAGACGCTCTTCATGAACGATGCGGCCAATGAAGTGCTGTATCCTGGCAACTGGCAACTGGCACTCGTATCCTATGACTTGCACCTCTCAGGCCCAAGATCCATAAACCCAACGAATCCCAACGAGATCTCATCGAGAATCAAGAACAGTACGATGTTGTGTGGCTGTAATTGGCTGTGTCAAAGGGGCAACCTAGCTCGACTTCAAAGTCATGTTGATTCACCATGGTTCATCTCTGGTTTCTACCGCGCATGGACTAGAACTATCTAGAAATGGGAGATCTAATTTGAGACATCGAACCTCAATGAGACTCATACACTCCCGGATGTCACACCCATCTGCCTTGCATTTTTTCGCACGCCATGCATGGGACCCAGTGCAAAGGAGACAGAGTCGCTTTGGGAACAAGGTCATCAACTAAGGTGCTTCTTTGGTTTGCGGGAGCGCCTCCTGAGTAGAGGAAACACCATTTTGTCATAGGTTCTAACTTGGTTTATTGGCCGAGTGAACGCTGAAATCATCCACCCGTGCGGGCACCAGGAGCTCTAGCAATAGGCGAAGCAGAATGCAAACTCTCCTGGTTTGGAGTTTCTGTTCCTAAATAATGCGTGCAACATGAAGACAACTTGCCAAGAGTGCAAACTCTGCGAACACCTACCGTTTGTACTGAGGGTTGGTCGCCGTGTTTCGTAGTTCCAGGCATTGTCATCAGCTGTACTGAGCTTGAGCAGCTGTCTAATCGTCTCACCAAGTTCTTGCCATACGCTCACATGTCTCAAAGCAATTATCTGAGTTCCTTTGGGCTTCTGAACTTTTTTCAAAGTTCATCTCACATACCATGCAGTGTCTCAAAGTATCTGGACCCCTAAACTCCGCATGTTTGGCTCACACATCTTCACTGCTTTGTCCACCGGTCAATTAACAATGAGGTCCCTGTGCGATCTGATTTTTTCCTCTCAGCGCATCTAGCAAGTGCGTGGGCGCTTCGCATGAGTAAGCTCCTGAGACGCTTCGCGGTATGTTCCAATCATAGCTTCCCTTTATCGCGGAACCGACAACATCGTGGCATGTAACTTCTGAGGTGCAAATCAGGGGTGGTGATACCTCATCAAGACTCCGAATTCCATGTGGAGGCTCATATGGGCGTGTATGTTAGTAGGGAAACACCCAGACCCAACCAATGGGTTTTGCTCTATTTTCCTTCGTCCATAGGGGGTCTTTGGGAGGTCTCCCTATTTTAATACACACCCATATGAGCACTTGTTCCATTCGTTTCACACGATCTCCAAACCGGGCATGCTATCCTAGATCTATGTGTATATATATATATATACTTACTTTATTATATATATATTGATATTATGACTGACTATGACACGTTGATCATTTGGGCAGGTCCACCGAACCAATGTATGTTCTTGGAAGATCTTGGAAGTCCCCAACACACTCAGTCTTGTTCACCAGGTCAGGATCTCGCACAGCGCTGGTTTTTGCGGCCGTGAAGATGGCAGGCATCTGCCCCCCGTCATACTTCGTATTGGATCACATAGGCTGGATATGCCTGTTCCTTGTCGAAAATCACAAACTCTTGATGGATTTGTCGTTCTTTGCCATGCCCTTTGATGTAGCCAGGATTCACAACGACAGAGTCGTAAACAGCCCCGAATTTATCTTTCTGTGGTGGCCGCTGCTCTTTCCACATGGTCTTCGTGGTGTGGTAGGCATCGCCAAGTGCGACCCTTGCAATGATCAAAGTCCTTTCTACCTTGCAGGTGCAGGCCCAGGTATGTTCTGGGTTCAAGCAGGTGTACTGATGGCTCTTGCAAGCAGCTGATGCAAAGTAAACACCCTTTCCATACATTCCACGGTGGCAAAGACGAGGGTCGAAGCCGTTGCACACGATAGATCCAGCATTCTCTCAGCAGCTGCCGTGCAATAGAATCTTCTCGTCAACATCTTTTGCCAGTTCCTCACCGCAGTCAAAGAAAGATTGATTGCAAGTCATGACTTTACGAGTATCAAAAGCATCCTGGTCAAGACTTGCTGGTGTGACAGAAGCAGTAGCACTATCCTGCCGCAAAGCGTCTCGCCTCGCTCTGTATCTTTGCCAGAGTTTCACATTTTCGATGCGGTGCACCGATTTGATGGTAGCTTGCCTCATGCAAGAGCACTCTGTGAAGTCATCTCCTGCATGCCCAGTGCACCTTAGGATTTCCTCCACCTTGCCATGAATCGACTGATTGTCCACCTTCACATAGTACGAGTACCAGCTTTCAGAGTGAAGGTTATTAAATTGCTCTAGAAAGGAAGCAGGTGTTAAGACCCACTCCTTGGGCATCCCTGTTAGAATCCGCATCTTCCTGTTGGGCACGTCGCTACGCCCAAACAACATCGAATGAAAATCAACTTTGAGAGCTACGCCACCCGAATTGATGGCTGCAAATCGATGTTTGGTCGGCTCTCGCCGAAAAGCCAGATAAGCATGATGCAGCTGATCGTTTGCATCTGGGGGAAAAGCATACCAGCTTCCTTCGACCTTATAGTCCTGATATTGCCAATTTACACCCTGACTGACTGCCTTGTTCGAGGTGTGCTCTTGCAAAGCTGTCTGCAACCGGAGATTCTCCTCAGAGCTTTCTTTCAATTTGTGCTGCATGTCATTGACCTGCTTCTCGGCCGTCTGCCACTTCTCTCGCTCATGTGCCAGGGCAGCCTCATAGTCTCCTGGTTGATGAGAAGCATGATTAACATGTAATGGTATCATGGTATGATGTACCATACCGCATTTATGCCTACATTCTGAACTTTGGGATTCCTGGAAAGGATGCCAAGAAAATGCTGAAAACATTCAAAAGCACTGCCCAGTCACTAACTTTGCCCTCCAAAGACTTCAGTTTCCCCTCTGCAAGTTCTCGCTTTGCTTGTTCTGCTGAGAGGGCTTGGCTGATATGTCTGACCTTCTCTTGCAGCTCTGCTGCCTTCTCATCAGACCCCTCCGGCACACGGGAGATATCTGAACCAACTCCCAGAGTGATTGTGATCCTCAAGCTTTCATCCACCTCCCCATGCACCTTCCAATTGGACGTGGGCGGTAGTTCAGGGTTGTCTCTTGGATGTCCCGCATTGTAGGCCCACACTTCTTCGCCGCCCACTTCAGGCCCAAACCACCACCCCCCTGAAGGATGATCCATCTCGACTGTCCCAATAGTAGATAAACACATCCATGCCGTCTGGAGGTCCCTGCTTTTTGTAAACAGGCTTCCCATGGTTGGATTCCTTGAGTCTGTATATTCCTGGAGGACTCTCGTCCGGAGATGTGTATGTGCCTTCAATCCACTTCGACACAGTCGCATTGCTGCATCCAAAGACCCAAATGGCCGGGTCCGCAGTTGTTGGACCTCCGTTCTTTGCGAGGCCCTCGGAGATTGAGCCACGGTCACCGGCATCACTGGCATGAGGGACTCCCTGAGGCACTATCCGTGGCATGACCCCGGAATTTGCGCTTTGACAAAAAGGTCCATTCTCTTTCAAGACCCTTGAACTGACGGTACCCGCTAAAGTAGTTCTACCCCACTCTTCCTTGAACTTATTTGGCATTTACAAATGTTAGAGTTTTTTCGTCCAGCAAACGAGAAGTGCTTGGGCAAAAATGGTGAGAGCTAGCGTCGGATGAGGCCCATGTCCGGCAAGTTGTGGTTGAGTTGAGCTATTTGCCGTTCAATAGATGGAATGAACCACTGAGTTCTACCACACCTAGAAACAGTATTTGACAGTATGGATCCATAGCCAAGTTCGTTGTCCCACGCCAAAAAGAAGACAGAAATCACTTAAAGGGGGACACAACGACTGATTTATATTGATTTTATACAAATTATTCGGAGCAGCGCTTTTCAATTGTAGACATATGAGTCGAAGCATAAATCATCATAAACCCATCATGCGCGGACGGATCTCTACCGCACCTGGAAGCTCAGGAGGGTGGGCTTCTGCCTGGTTTGAGATGGAGTGTTCGCTTTGTTTGGTGGCACCCAGACGTTGAAAGAAAAGCGGAGGGAAAGTAGGGACATTAGCTAGAACACAAAGCAAAGGGTACTCCAATTCAGGCTGTTTTGCATTGTTTCGCATATCATTTATCATGTTGGGAGTAATGTTGGTTCCACAGAGGATCGGAATGTCCAAAGGTCTTGCCTCGTGTGTACCTGGACCTTCAAGCAGCCTTAACTTCAGGGAAGTCTACCAACAAGAGTATTGAGTTGAGTTTGCTTCCTTTTCTTTCTCTCCATCACCTGGGCAAGCATCCAAGCGCTCCCTGAAGTTCTTGCTTTCATACTTCGCTGGATACTGTATTCTTTTTCCATAATTCGAGCTAAGTCATCACTGCGGCCTGCTGAAACTTCCACAAAGCAAATAACCTTCTTGGGCTGAAGATCAATAGAACAGTTCAACAGTTCCCAAAACACTACAAAACAATTTTTGCTTACTCCATTGGGCAAGGGGACCCAAAAGCTCCAAGAGACTTAATGTCACTGTGAATTAGCCACATGAGTCCCTACTTACTTGACAAGTCAGTCTGTCAGTCTGAAGGAGCTTCCAGAGGCGCCGGACACCGGAAACCGCCCTCCAACAGCGTGTTTACACCAAAACCATGCCGTTCCGGGGTACCAATCCAACAGCTATGTAGCCCAATCATGTGCGATTCGTTCGCTTTAGACTGGCGGCAGCTATGCTATGTCTCTTTCCTGTTCTTTTCATCATGAAGAGTCGCGGTTTGTCGAAAAAAAGGCTCCAACTGCAATAGCCATAACTAGCTCCACTTCGCCAGAATGAAGCAAACTAGATGCCCAAACCAAGCTAGGAGGTGATGCCCTGGTTACTTTGTCCATCTATCACTTCTTTGATGCTTTGATCTCTACCCAACCCACCTTGCATGTTTGTCAGGTATCCTCAGGTTGAGGTCCTCCGCAAGGGAGTCATTGCTAACGCTACCATAAGAATGACACATCGAACAAAGCTCCTTTGTCCTTTGGAATGGACAAATCAACAAGTCCAAAGAAACTGTATACAGGAGTGTCAAAAAGTTACTATCACAAGGCATGGTCAACTATATAATCCATCCCAAACCCAGTATGTCCCACTCAATTGCCTCCAGTCTCAGTCAGCAGCAATACCAAATGATGCCATTGGGGACAAACCAGACCGAAGGAATGATTAGAAGCACGTATCTTCTCAAAACCGACACGAACAAAAATGGCTGAACTTCTTTGAGCTTGGCTGATAGGTCGAATTGAAAAGTCACCGTGGAGATGCCAGTTTCTAGTCACATATAAAATGGATGTCCTACTGGTTAAGGCTCATATTTGACCAAGCTGGCTAAGACCGCAATTCTGGCACTTTGGCATCTAATTACTTTGCTTGCATCCACCGTTTCTTGAACGGAGAAAAGCTGAAGTAGAGAAGTGGATACATCTGGTTCTTGTCTAGCTAAGTGGTGTGGGGAGGCAGGCAAAGTATAGAAAACAGCCACGTTCAAGTCATGAACGAAATCATTTTTTGAAGCCGGGGAGAAGCACCAAGTCTGAGTTTCTTGAGTTCCGGTCATCTTTTTCAGGGAAAGCTCATCTCTTCAAGGCACATCTAGGAACTGGTGGACTGGTGGGGCTCATTACTCAACTCTTCACCAGGAGTTCAGTGTCGGGAGCTTATTGGAGGGTATATCAGGATGCCCAGAAACAACGGATCATTTACGGTCTAATCAAAACTCTTCATTCCTCGTTGCCCACAGCAACATCGATGTTTTCTCTTCCGCATCTAACCCGCGCGTGGGCGCTTTGCAGAAGCAATTTCCTGAGGCGGCCACGGGCGGGACCCCAGTATGCCCGACCCATCAGATTGAAGAAAGGTCGAGGGACGATGATTCTGTGATTCTGTGATCCGGTAGACTGGAGTCATCCCTTGAAAGTTGACTGCGAGTCTAGTTCTTGAAGGAACACCCAAAGGATATCGAACAACTTGAGCGCAGAACTTTTTTGGCAGCGGGCTACAAGGTCTTCGATGAACTGTCTTCTGCTCAACGTTCAAACTACATACTGGACGACGTAAGCAGGATATGCCTGCTCTCTGTCGCAAATCACAAATTCTTGGTGTATTTGTTCTTTGTGCGGGTGTCCGCTGACTTTCCCTGGATTTACCACCACAGAATCAAATGTGATCCCAAGTGAGTTCATTTCAGGGGGCCTGCACTCCGTTTGCCTGGTTTCCTTTGCCAGGTAAGCAGCCCCAAGTGCAACACGTGCAATGATCAGTGTCCTCTGTTGCCTGCATATGCAGGCACATGTGCCGCAAGCAGAGCAGGTGTATATACTGGTGTGATTTGCAGGCAGCTGATGTAAAGTATACCCCTTTGCCATACATACCATGCTTGCACACTCTGTGGTCGAACCCACTGAGCGCAATGCAGTTGGCATTCTCCCAAGAAGTTCCATGTAAAAGGAATTTTTCATCGACATCTTTGGCTAAAGCCTCTCCACAGTCAAACCTATCTTGAAAGTCGGCCATGGAAGGTTGATTGAGGCTATGCACGTCCAGAGCTACTGGGTCGCATTGCGACTCTTGTGCTCGTTCCGTAAAGCCTCACGCCTTGTCGCGTAACCTTCCACAAACGCCTTAAGCTCGTGACTCCATTGCCAAACAAGGTCAAACAGTGCAGTGCAGAGTTGATAAGAAATCACGAACTACACTACGCAAGTCTAGTGCCGAAAGAGGTTCTCCAAATGAAATGATTCTGTAAAACAGTGGGGTTCAGTCCCGGTTTTGTATAGGTGTATCACAAAAAAAAGGGAAGAATGGAACTATGTCGCCGGCAAGTCACCAATTTTCAATGCGATGCAGTGATATGACTCTAGCTACTCTAGCTCTTCTCATGCAAGAGCAGTCGAAATTGATGTCCCATGCATGACCAGTCGACCGAAGAATGTCTTGCACCTTATCTAAAAGGCTGCACTCCTCGACGTCAACGTAGAGAGACCTCAATCGCATGTGATTAGCTTGGTGCAACAAGGAGTCAGCCGGGGAAGCCCACTGCTCAGGTACACCGAGCACAATGCGGATGGGGCGAACCCTGTTCGTTTTGCGGCGCGTTTGCTGAATGTGCCGGAAATCAACGGTCCGAACTACCCCACCAGAGTCGATCTGGGCATGTTGATTTTGGCGGGAAGGGTGACACAGGTATGCCAAATATGCCTTCAACATCTGTTCATTCCCATCTGGCGGGAAAGCATACCAAATTCCCTCGTGTTGATACTGCCACCTTGCTCCCCCAGCAGCCACTCTGGAGACATGCTTGTGCAAGTCCAAGTCCGTCTTAAGGCGCTTGTTGTCCTTCTTCAAGATGTCCTGTAATTCTTCCATCCTGCCAAGTTTCACGTAAAGTTCCGCCCGGTGCCTCTGTAAATCTTGAACCGTCTTTTCCAGCTGCCGCTTCTCCTTCTGATTTTCAGCATTCTCATGCGAAAGCTAGTTCTTTAGTTTGTCTACCCTTTTTGCGAGCTTTGCCTTCTCCTTCTCACTTTCTGCATGTTTCGCCTGCTCGTCAGAAAGCTGTGCCTGAAGTCTTTCTATGTTCTTCGCCAGCTTCGCCTTCTCCTTGCAGAACTGGAAAAAAAGCCAGCAGCTCCTGAGGAATTGCAGAGTCGAACCCTTGAAGAGTTTCTAGTAGAAAATCGCGAAGCTCTTGAGGAGCAAGCTTCCAAGCAGCAGGCCAAACAGACAGAAAGTGAGAAGGAGAAGGCGAAGCTGGCAAAGAACATGGAAAGACTTCAGGCACAGCTTTCTGACGAGCAGGCGACACAGGCAGAAGGTGAGGCTGCCATTTTCTGCCGCCTTGAACAGGGTTTTTGTATTGAATATGCCGAGCTTATTCTTTTCGAAAGCGTTCAGGGCCAAAATGCCCACAGTCAAAACTAAATGGGAAATAGCCAGGCGTGGATGGACACCAAAAGCATGCGCGGCCTCTGCTTGAATTACTTGATGAAAGTCCACTGGATTAGGGCTGTGGATGTGTGAGATATCAATACTAGCTGCAAGCTAATCAGAAACAACAACTTGAGTAGCTTTTCTGATGATAGATTGATAGATGGACATCAATGATTGAGGACAGCGAAAGATCAGAAACACTGCGACATTCCAACTCCCATGATACTTTCTTAGATCATTCTGAAGCGACGCTCTGTACGACAACATATGACGGAGTACCAGCGTTCATCGGCTTAAAGAGATGACCACAACTTCATCCGCAACAACGGACTACACGGGCAACCTTTACCTGGGGCGGCACAGCCCAGAACGGATGGCTGGACCGGAAGAGTGTGGGCAGGCTGGACCACTCCTGCATGCTTTCACACCACACTTGCAAGGCAAAAGTCCACAGGGTGAGGCAGAGGCTGGGAAAAGGCAAGAAGGTCGATCGCTTTCGATGTTCATTTCAAAGCGTTTGCAAAAATGACCACTACCCGGCGTTTCCAGGGGCTTCACCCCAGACGGCTTGGAGCAAGAAGAGTCATTTGAAAATGGAAGTTAATGTGCCAATGCTCTAATATGATCAAGAGTTCGTACGAAGATGTGCTCGTTTGAAGAAGAGAAGGTGTGTGATAGCACCACTTTTGAACCCTTGGCCAGGCTGTAGCAAAATAGAAAACACACTCCAATCTTCCGAGTTGCATTTTTTCACGGGTGTCCTGAGATTTAGAAAGAATCACAAGAGAAAAGCAAACGAAAAGTTCTAAACCAAGTGTGCACCAGAATTTCATGTCCAAATCAACCAACCGCGCTCCATCCTGGTGGGCACGTGCTTGGATTGTTTGGACAAAGGTACATACAATGTCCTCGGTTGATTCCGAGGCTCCTTCTCTTCGTCGCGTTCTCCTTCTTTGCATCCACCGACAAGTCAAGCTGGTTGCTCAACAGTCGCGGGCTGAGCGATCATGTGGGTGAACTCAGGGCATCCGACTTACTGCCTTTGTGACAACAGTGTGTTCTGGAACCATCACTTGAATATCTTACATGATCATCTCTTGTGAATCTTGCGCTTAACTAAGGATTGTGAGATGTTCCCTACGGCATCTAACTGAATGCAACAGCTTCGGCACCCTTCAATCTGGGTGTTGCTTCCACAGAGAGACAAGCAGACATATCACAAGTGTTCCTCCTTGATGCTTCTGCTTCTGGCAGGGCGAACGAGTTACACTTCCATCCAACTTGGCAACATCATCCTTTCTGAGATGAATGAACCACTAATATACTATGCCATGCCACATCAATCACAGCTGATCGGCGCGTTCATAAAAGCTGGTCTTAAGGCCCTGGCCGCTTCGCGTGCCCTCTTCCGGGCAATGTCCCGGTACTTCAGGGCCTGGGGAGGTGGCAGAAGCCAACTGCACTCAAATCTACATTGGGCGCATGTCCTCATGTTCTACAAAACACCAGTGAAACAAGGCTGAAGTCTGCTCCTCCGTTAAAGTTTTTAGTGCTTCGGACACCAAAATGAAGCCAGAAGTGATACACGATTGATTGGCAGGCCAAAATATGTTCTATGTTTGTAGCCAAGTGGCAACAAAGACAAGGGGGTCATCAAAACGTTCACCCAAATTGGGTGCGTCTAGTCTTGCGAGATGGTTCGCCATCTGCATCTGTTTCCGGTACTAATTGCCCCAAGACACTGCTTTCTCTGATTCAATTTGTTCAACTGTGAACTGCAGAGAAGAAGGTTGAGACATGTCCATACTCAAAACGCTTGATGCAGAGGGTGGAAAGTGGAAAGGCAAACCCTCTAGTCTATGACCAAAGCTTCCCATTGATTGCGGAAGGTCCAACACCCCTGCTGAAAACTTGACATATTCTTTAAGGGTCACACTGGCTCACATCAAAACAGCATCATCTACATTGCCTACCACTATATCTGGCCTACCATCACCCCAGTTACCAGCGCAACTAGTCATTGGCAGGGCAATGATAACCCTGTTATCGTGCAGTCAGTGGAGTCTTACCCGCCTTAGCCATTTTCAGACCATGCAAAACCAAGACACCGCACCAGTTCATCAACAAGGAGGGGACGTGTTTGCTTTGGCACGATTTCCCCAATGGCTTCACACCAAATCCATACCTTGGATGCACCGGTGGCGTCCGCGGCCCCCGGCGTTCGCGTCCTCGGGGTCGATCCGCAGCCTCGGAAGGTCGGCACGGAGCTCCAAGGTGAATTCCATGTAGATCACGATAGATCATGAGGGAAGTTCACTCACCGGACTCTCCTCAAATGGTTTCAGGATGTTTCAGGCCATATCCTCTTCGCCAGCCATCACAGACAACTCTTTCCAGCACAGAAAGCTCCCCTCACATGGCTTTTCGCACACCGTTGAGACTCCCCACGCCGCGTCGAAGTCCTTGAGCGCCTCACTCGGCGTTTTTCGCCGAGTCCCATCGACCGGAAGTCCGTCGGAAGCCAATCGGAGCCGATCGGACGGAAGCCATGGGTGGACTGTCAGTTGAACCCGCAAGAACAGCAATCGATAGAAGCGTTCAAGGGGTTCACCTTCCCCTCAAATGCTTGACAGAACAACTGTAGCTGGCGGCATGAATTTTTCTGGATCGGTTCTGGACGAACAGAAATGGCATGCTTCTATTTGCACGACTGGCTGGCATTCGGCGCTTTAGGTTGCCCAAATCCATGGATAATCAGCCTGTGTAGCTGTGACGAAAAGCCACAGTCCTTTTTGTGATAAACTCGTGACATTGGATTTACCACAACAGGCTTAAAAAAACATGTAAAAAGAAGAACTTCCTTCCAACAACTTTGGAAAACAACCTAAAGAAAATCTAAAGAAACATGTTAAACATCAATACAAACAAGTTCCCACACCGCACCCCCCACAGTGGCACTTTTGCTTGCACCAGCCAGGCTCCCACTTCACCCTCATTGGGATCCTCATCGGGCTCCAAGCGCTTCCACTCCAAGCCATGCGTCTCCAGCAGCTGAAAAAGTTTCGCCTCGCGGGGCAAGTTCCGAGCCTCATAGACCAACAAGCCAAGGCCACCGCCTTCTCCATCGCGTGACCCGCGCGTGAGGAAGAAGGTCAAGGTCTCCACCAAGGCGTCTAAGGGATCCTCCTCCAAGAGAGACCAACCACCCCAATAAGCCAACTCACAAGCCACCAGATTCACGCACGTCGTCCGCAGCGTAGCCAGGACGGCCTCCATGGCGGTCCAATCCCCCCAGGGCAGCACCTCAAACGGCACCCGGACCTCGTTGCAACGAGCCGTCTCGGAGACCAGGCGGGAACAGTCTGGCAGATCCGTGGCCACCACTCGATAGCCCTCCAAGGCCAGGAACGAGGCCAAGCCACCACAGCCGGATCCCAGCTCCACCACCGGCACGTCGCGGTGGAACACCTGCACCACCTGGCGAGCGGCCACCTCTTGAGCTCTCCAAGGCTGGCCGGCCACACCCAACGAAGGGTCGATGGAGATCTGAATTCGTCGCTTCATCCAGCACTCGACATGAACTGCCTCTCGACATCCGCTTGTGGTGCCTTGCAACATGATGAGCTCAGGCGCTCAGGCATGCAGGCATGGCGGTCAATGATCTCACTCAAAACATAGTCAGTTCGTTTATCAAATATTCTTTTTCACCGGTGGGTTGGGCTCCAATGCAATCTCTTGTGTTCCCGGTTCATCCAGTTTTCTGGATCCCAAATCATGTTTAGTAGGTCCCACAGCCCGCGTCCTGCACACTGCATTGTCGCCCAGCCTCTTGCTTCGATACTTGTTATTTGGAGTGTTCTCTGGCAAAGCCAGGACATCTGCAGATACAATTACCTGGACTGGAAACTTCCACACTGAAATGACAGCATGTTTGGCTTCTCCTTCACCTCCTCCCCAACCCATGCGCCAGGGATCCTTTTCATTCTGGCCGTTGTGTTTAAACGGAACACTTCTGGGGTATCACCAAACATCGCGTTGAAATGGATCTCAAGGCTCGCAAACAACACAGCCAGGAGGTGCCAAACTTAAACAAGCATGCACTTGGTATTACAGTAGATGGTATATTGGTCCATCCAACAAACATACACTTTGCATTCCCAACCCACACAAGTGTCCCATGCCCACACCCCCCATGCCTCCCTGGCTTTGCCAAGGTTGGCCAGCGCAGCACCGCGTCCAACGAGGCCCTCCTGCCAAGGCCGTCGTCAGCACGGAGGCACCGGTGGGCGACCATCGGAACCGAGACCGGAACGGTGGCTAGATCGAGGCTGCTGCGATATCTTGTGGGCCAAAGCTTGGGTGTTGTTGGGACTATCAGATCTTCACGGTACGGTTGACCGTTGATAAATCAAACAAAAGAACATGTTATGGACGGAGATGGAAAACCATTCAGGTAGGGGAGGCCTATTGAACAACAGTCTACATTAAAATTCACTTTGCACCCATGTCAACAGCAAATGTATGCAAATGCCTTATCAGTTGGTGACCAAAGAGATGAACCTGTAGTTCTGTGATTCTGGAAGGACCTGAAACTTCATCCAATCGGCTGCCTGGTTCAACTCGAGAAGCAGTAAAAGCTTCTGTTGGTCAGTTTCACGGTCGCAGCCAGCACTGACATCGCGAAGAACTGCCACGGCCCGTTGTGCGTGAACCCTGTAGCCATAGGCCGCCCCAACCAAGGGAGGTTTTTTCGTGTTTTATCCAGACAGTCCTAAGGACTGTCAGTTGGAGGGTTAGAAGAGCTTTTCCTTCGCCTTCTCTAGGTTTCAGAATGCGTTGTCACAACGCAGTACTTCAAAAGCTGAGCAAGACCTTCTAGGAAGGTCATGGGTCACACTGCTTTGCTCATCAGTGGCGCAGCTAATCAGTTTGCCACAGGGGTGTCTGAGGTGTCTGATTTGCCAGTTCTGTATCGAAAACATGGAACCTTTGGGAAATATATTTGGAGCCCTCAAAATGCCTGGACTGCCTGGAATGGGCCAAAAAATCTGAGGATTTCTTTCCGCTCCCACTACTTCTTGTCTTGCAGCCAAGGCGATGATCTCAACAAAACAAAACCTCAGACCAAGTGGTCCGGAGTGCGGAGCTCTCCTTGTGCTGTGGGCAAAGCTCCAAGGCCGCGTCGTACCTGGCACAGATGACGTCACATTTGGGGAAGAAATCACTGGGATGATGGGATCATCCAAGTTTGATCACTGAAATATTCGATGTTTGAAGATAAACTTGTGTTCAGATTGATCCTAGCATTCGAATGCAGTAGATATAGATTCTTGGCCGATGACCACCTCTGCCAATAGAATGGTGAAGTCCAAGACCACCATTATGACCAAATATCTGCCATCCAAATGTCAAATCATCAAAAAATAGTAATCATCCAAAATCAAAAAAATAAACATGTCTTCGACTTCCGAAATCTGTCCCTTCACAGTCCTCGGACTTGTCGGCACCTCTCCATGGCTGCCTTCTGGTCGCCGGCACGGGCCTTGGCGAGGCCCTCGCGCACCCGTTGATCGGCCCAGGTGCGGCTCTGCAGCTTGCTCAAGCGTGCGGCCTGGCCTGGCGGCGAAAAGGTCTTCGGATGGAAGATCACGGAACGTCGAAATGGGTCATTCGTAAATATGATTTATGACACTTTATAAATATATGTGTTCATTTTGGGGGGAGGGGGGAAGGTTTTGTGTTTGATTCAGGGAACTTGGGATACTTGAGCTGGTGCCTCGACCTCAGGTAGATTCGGCTGAGTTGGGTGAATCAGAGTCCCCAGCTGAACATGTCGTTCTTTTGGGAAGGCCCCTGCTCTGTGCGCGCGCCCCACACCTGCTTCGTGGGCGCTGCCGGCCACCTGGGAAACGCGGATCGGTCACTCGGTCGTGCGGATCGGTGGGTGCGAAACCCCACCCACAACAGGATCGAGTGTCCACCATGGAGCGGTCACTATAGGTGTGGTGGATCGGTCAGGAAGGCCAGGTAGGGCGAAGGAACAAGATGGAAGCTGTGGGGAGGTGCGGAGATATGGTACATTGTGAATAGGTCACGAGCATTCATGAGCTATGTTCTCGAACAGAGCATATTGTGGTAGGTCTGACGAAAAGTAATATATGGGTGCATCCTGAGAGCACGGACAGCAGGTTCTTCTGCCAGGTTCTGAGGCTCCAGGAAAAGCCCAAGCAAGCAGCACCCTGATGTCCCTGTCGTTCATGTCCCTGTTGCCAAATCAAAGTCTTTGACCATCTTGGACCCAGGGAACCAGGGAAGAAGCGAAGAGATCGAGAGAGACGTCTGTGAGATACGTCCGGGGTTTGTTCATCCACTTCCAGCTGATCCAAGGCACAAGACTTCCATGCAGCCCGTGGATCCCCAGGCTTCGGGCCTGGCTCGTTCCACCGAAACAGAAGCCCCGCACCCCCCCCTTTTTCCGCTGGTGGGTTGAGATCGTTTTTCTTCACACTTGTTTACCTGGAAACAAATGGGAGATGTTTGATTTATCCGAAACAAAACTGAGCTGATCATATCTGAAAATCGTGATTTCTCAAGTCTACCAAAGCAGCTTTGGAACCATTTTCCAACAACAGCCCACACATGATAGTAACGGATGGCATATCGCAGTATGGCTTATCAAACCATCGGAGTGGCGAGTGTGAGGGCAACTGTGCGTCCATCCTCAACTTCAACACCCAACAAACAAACCTTCGACTTGAATCATCAAGATCTAGAGGAAAGATGGGTTCCTTCTGTTTCAGTATTGTTTAAAACCTGAATTACAAAGACTTTGCTGATGTGAGTTTCCGTTTCTTCACCTCCTTGGTTTGAATTGGTTGGACGGAAGGACACAAAAAGGATGATATGCTGAGGTTCGAAACATGCTTTGTGCGCAGACCGAGAGCCATGTGACACCGTTGGTGGACTCCGGAAAGAACTGATCCCTTCTCCTTTGGTTCTTTTCCTATCTATATGCAGGCGGATCTCACAGAATGTTGGACCTCTGACCTACAAAATGCCTCGCTGTACCGATCGATCAAGATCTTCTTGGTTCCATGTCTCTTCTCGCCCCAAAAACTGGGCCATGGAATCCTGTCTGGTGGCCGGCAGGAACGGAAGTTGAAAACCATCGATGGAAGTTCTCGGGCTGTTTCCCGCCTGTTGAATGGCCAAAGGGCCCTTCGATGACCTCACAACCGCCTCAGCATGAAGCGCATGGTGACCTTCGATGGTCAAATTAAAGAGGTCCTCCACATTCATCTGCTACTATAAACGCAAATTCAAATACACGAATTATATTACTATGTGACTTTAAACTTTAAACTTAAAGTGGTGTTTTCCATGGATAGAGAAGACAATTTCTTCCATGGTCTTCTTGGCATCCGCATTCGGGATCAAGCATTCGGGGTCGACTTGCTCCGATCAGGGTCGGTCTATGTCTTCTTGACCAGTAGCAGTTTGTTGAGGAGTTAGCGTACCCCAAAGCGTACCCCAAAACGGGCCACCCAATCTTCAGCGCGAGTATCGTGGTTTGTGGCAACAAGTTGATGGAAGTGATCCAGTTCCAGCAATGTGGGCAATCCACAAAAGTCCGTGTCTGGAATCACCTGACGATTGCCAGACGAGTGCTGGTGCTCCCAAAGGATGTGTCCGTGAATACCAAAACAGGGGGTATATATATATATATATATCAGAATCTTTGATATGTCATCTCTCATAATGATGTCCTCTCACGACTCCTTGTCAAATAGCCCGTCAGCCCGGCGTCAACAAGCACACACATCTGTCCGGCAGAAAACCCATCCCATCTGTCCGGCCAGCCATCAGATCAACCACGATCGGGTGGACAATTCCCAAGATCAACAGGAATCATCACCACCCGAAAATGTTCCCCTGTGAAAAAGCACTCCCGATTTACATGTAAAGTCATCCCCTCTGGGAATGTAAAAAGCACTCCCGCAGCCGAGACAGTTCGAGTTCCTTGGTCTTAGATCGGATCTGCCGAGCTCCCGCCGAGCTCCCCCGCGGCCGCCGCACTTTGGCAGGGATCGGAACGCAAGATCTCACTGATGCCGCCCTGCCGGAACGGGGGCCGATCCCGCGGCGCGCGCATGCGCGCGGAACGGGACGGATTTCTCCGACGGGTTGCTCTGAGGGTCGATGGTCCTAGGATGTCCGGCGACTCAAGCAGAAGTGGCAAGCTCAGTGCAGTTGGAAGAAGCGACTCGAAGCAGGCAATGGCCTTAAGGCCTTTAGATTAAAATAGTGGACCAAGAGACAGCTGTGTATTAGTTGGGGAAGTCCCCCACCAATAGGCTGTGGTCTGGCGATCTTTCCTGGGGATCTGTCGGGTCTCTATTCTACCACACAGCTGGGACTGGTGTTGAACATCGTCGCCCGAAAGGAACTTGTTGTTCATTGCTGCCTACCCACCCACCCGCACTCGCCCGCCGGGTTCAGCCTCAGGCCACTCTTCGCTTCGGCCGGGGCCTGGAGACAGAAAAGGTCTTCAGGAAGTGATCAAGGTTTTTGGAGAATGAAACAACTCTTTGGTGACAGTAAGTGAAACACCATGCAGTTGTCTAAGGTGTTTCAGTGAAACCCTTGGATACTTACCTTGCCGCATCGGCACCCGCTGCACCAACCAACTCTCCGTCTCGGGCCCCACACCCAA